AGGCGCTGAACTGACATCACATTGGCAGGGGCTTATTGCGCTCGAAGAAAAGGGGCCTGCGCAGAAGTTGAGATGATTACGACCCACCCGTTGCGTGATTGCTATTGGGTTGGAGCTTTAGACTACGGCTTGTTGGTTACAAATCGTGTGGGCTATCCGAGCTGATCCCACAAAATGTGAAAAACTGCTTGCAGAGGGGGCGATGCAGCAACAGCAACCAAGGTTTGGAAGAAAAAGAAGGACGCACGGCCAGTTGCTAAACCCAAACTCTGCTCGGTTGGCCTTGTGTACCTCGTCGCGGGAATCCTCGGAAAGTCAGGCAGCGGCACGTTAGGAAGCAATGTTTCAGGGGCCCTGGGAAAGACGAGGTACGTCGAGCGCGGTAGCCATCTGCATCCTGCCATCGATTGGACGCAACCATGCGCTCTTGAAATGGCAGGCTCAGCTGTTCACTTGGCAGACCTTCAACTTGTTTCTCCCCACAGGCGGGCCTTCAACATGGTTCTATACATGTAACCAATACATGTGATGTAGCTTTCGAGATTCGAGATGCCATGAGCAAACAGTCGTCTCTATTTCATCTTGGCTGTCTTTGCTTTTCAACTTGTATAGAATTTAGGATGCCGTCCATAAGCAAAGGCAGGCCGCAATGGGATGCGCGGTGTGGGGTCTCTGTCGGGATTCCTTGGTTTGCCTCGCCAGCGGACTGAGCTCATGGCATGTGAGGTCAAGGAGGTTCCCTAACCAAAAGAGCACATGATGTAAACGTCTCAAAATATTTGGAGTCAACCAACTGTTCAATCATGTTCGATCCACTATTGTTTAAGCAGCCTCCTTTGGACTTTCCTTCAAGCGGTACCAGGGGATTGTTTAAACATTTTTTGCCCCACTCGGATAAAGGCTAATTACCAGCTTATATATACTACATGTATACATATATTGCAGGCACTGATTTTGGTAGGAAAACCTGTACTTGTCCAGTGTTTCTGTGGAAAAGGTAGGGTTTTGTTTTTCGTTGTTGTTTTTGTTTTGGGCTACCATACATATATATATATATACACACATTTTTTACTATCTGTTGCCCCCCTCGCGTCATGACCCCTTCTGCGACACCCGTCAGGCAAATCCTTTCGCGAGGCCGTGCGGTCAGCCTGGGGCCCCAGTCACTGGATGGTTTGTTGATTCAAAAAGACTTCAGCGGGGTCGTTTTTGGAGGATACCCCCCCGAAGTCCAGTTGCCACCATCAAAACAATTCTAGGTCCCCCAGCTAGGTGCCCTTTCTTAACCCCTTTTTTGGGGGAGGGTTCCCCTACTAGAATAGACCACAGAAAAAAAGGGTTCCCTTATTCAAACCTCTCTACTGGAGGACCTAGAATGGTTGACCACCACAACGTTTACCGTTCAGAATTATCATCATCTAAGTAGGGTTTCTTTTGATGGGGGCAAGGAACCCTAGGGTACTTGTTTGGTGGTTTGTTTGTTGAAAGGGACCTCAAAGGGAGACAACTGTTTGAAGGAAATCCGGTATCGCTTGGTTGTTGGTTTGAATTGGAACTCCTCGTTGTTGAGTTCTTCTCAACTTTTGCTGGATACTTGGGACATTTGCGCCAGGCACCAGCTGTTGATAACAGCCAGTCAGTGTTGATCCACTTGGATGTTGTTCCTTGTAATCTAAAGGGAAAACCACGTTGAGGAACGAGTCCTGGCGCTTCTTGTGACTGGATCCTTTGCGCTCGAGCTGATTTTGTCTCAGTCCCTGAGGGCGGAACTCGCACTTTCGTGGAGTCTCCGTTACCCAAAATAAAATGGTTGGTCATGACCCCATTATTTTTTGGGTAATGACCCATTTTTAAGGGGTCATGGAGACTCCAGGTAAGCAAAAGGTTTGGGAGCGTTTTTGGTCTACTCAGAAAGTGAGTCGTTGTCATTTGCCTCAAATAGATAATTGGGATACATTCTCGTGGGTAAGTCTCTAATCTAACAAATCGCTGTCGCCACCAGCTCGAAAAATACTCATGAATGAATGAACCATGATAACCTACTGGCCTGACATGGGGGCTTCTCAAAATGTTGGACCTCCTTTGTGTTGGTGAGAGGGAATCTGGAAGGAAACCAACTGATTTGGGGGACATTAATTTGAGAAGGAAAACACAATTCAGGCATGGACCCCGAACTGAACCTTCGTCGGGCAAATGCTGCTAGCCAAGCGGATTGAGGATTTGGGCATTTCGCTGACTGCTTGTCCTTTTGGCTTGCCACGGTTTGCTTCCAAGTTCCTTGGAAGACCCCGAGGTGTTGTTTCTGCGCGGCGCAATGGAAGATGAAAACTGATCAGTTTGGCTGCTTGGATCTTCACACTTTCACTTTTTGGTGAACTTATGTGTTTTCGCACTAAGCAGCAACCAGCATGACTGGTCTTGACCGGATGGCCCCTTGAACCTTTTGGAAAGAAGTCGACCTTTTGCTCGTTTGAGGGGCTTTGAGCAAACCAGTCAGTGCCACCTCTTTTGGATTCCACACCAAATGGCATCCTCCAGTCATCTTCCCTCAAGCAAACTGATCTGAATCTCACGACCCCTGAGAATCATTGGCTTCACTTTTCTTGGCAAGTGGTTTTTTGGTTCTGTTCACGAAAGTTTGTTTGCAAGCCTTCAAGGGTTGATGAAGTCTTGAGACTATGGCTGTGGGTCAAAACCAATGGTACCATTTTCGGGTAGGTGCACCACCCATTTCGTCTATTTGAGTGGGGATTGAATCGGAGGTTCACTGGGGGTACGATTTGGATTTTGACCCATGGCCATACTGTGGATGGACGAAATCCTGCACCACCTAAGATACCCTGGAATGATGATTCACCTGTGAATACCAACAAACAATGGTTTCAACCATGGTTTCAAAGTGGTGCGAACGGATTTCGTCCATCCACAGTATGCCTACCTGATGTTTTTTCCAGCCCCGGCGTGGTTTCCACCGGGTCAAGGGAAAACCGAGTCGAGCGAGGCGCGCACGGCGCCTCCAATGCCTCAGTGGGGCGGCGGCGGGTAGGGCTCTCAGAAACGGGCGGCTGACGCTCTGCTGGGTGCGGAAACGGCCCTCGTTGCAACATGGAAACGTTGGTTTCCATTTGTGGCTCAAAATTAAGCAGCTAGGATTACTATACGCAGGTTTTCGTCTTTGGTTCCATTTGCCAAGGTGCCAGTTTGGTACATTTATGTGAGCCACAGCCATTTGAGACCAAAAGTGGCCCTGAACCCTAAAATGGTTTGAGTTAAACCCTAAACCCTAAAATGTTGGTTGAACCCTAAAATGCTGGAAATGTTCTGCCTATTTGATAGCCAGCTCACCGATTCGGGGTCTAGCGCCCGAAAGCCATGATCAAGGTCCTTTACTTGGGAATCCCTGGATTCAGCTTTTCGAATTGTAACATTTGCAGAATGGAGGTACCAACTACAACAATTCTGCAAATCACAAATGGTGGTACCAACAAACGTAGATTTACATTCACTTTCCGTTTAAAATCACAAGCCAAGAGGTACCAACAACAAAGGAGACACCCCGCGGAAAAACCCGGTGCAAGGCGACCGTCACCTTGGATAACTTTGCGCGAGGAAGCCTGACCATTTCTGGGCCCGATGCTTTGCCCCAGGTTTTGGACAATGTAGACAAAGCAGCCCCGGCAGCTCCCTTTCACCACCTCCGCCATAGGCTTTCGGCTTTTGATTTTGCCAGTCCTGCGGAGATCTTCGCTCTGAGGCCTCCATTCTTTTGGGGGAAACACAAATTCCTGGGGTCTTTATGACCCTTAAAAATGGGCCTTACCGTGTTGAGCTTGACTCTAGTGGGACTTTGTGAAACGGCTTAGGTGTAGCAACAGTGGGAGCTCCGGTGATCTTGAAATACCACTACTCATGTTATTTTACTTATAGCTCGCACCGTGGGAGTTTCTGATTTGAGGTTGCCTTGCTTGGTAACTCCGAATGAAACCCACCAGTAAGTTGCGACTTTGGAAGGACAAATCCAGACACCTCTGCACCCTAGGGTTCAACCCCCATCAAACCGATTAAACGAATGGCGTTGGGACCCAATTTGGATGATTTGACAATCCTGAACGGTAAACGTTAAGGTGGTTATATGGGCCCAACCATTGCTTTAATGGTGGCAACTGAATCCCAAGGATTGACTTTGTATGGCAAACGCAACACGTGTAAAGACGACTTTCCGAAGAAACCTATGAGTCACATAAACCCCTTTGATTAAATGGTGGTCACTGAACCCCGCGGTGTAGGATGGCAACTGAAAGCCAGGTTCGGTGCTCCCCGTGGGCGGGGCTCCGGACTGCCCCGCCCCGCCCCGGCGCGCGGCGGACCAACCAGAGCGACGGCTTCGACGCCTCCGACGGCTCCGGCTACGCGCGGTGCCCGACAGTGACACCCCCCCCCTGCCTTCAGGGTCAAGCTGATTCATTTGGATGAGCTAGGTCCCCCAGTAGTGCCCATTTACCCTTGTTTGGAGGAGGGTTCCCCTACTAAAAAAGACTGCAGAAAAAAGGGTAGCCTTACTCTAACCTCTCCTCTGGAGGACCTAGTGAGCCGTTTTTTGCGGGATACCCGAGTAAGGGTGGAAGCGAGTTTTCTTTTGGAGTTTAGGAAAGGGGGGGTGCAGGCAATTTAGTAATCGTCGTGAGTGTGTTTAAAGCAACAGGCCGTGTTGGTTTGGTTGACAACTATGTGACAGGAATCAGGTTGGCTGCCCGAGGAACCTCTCCAAGTATATGTCGTTTTTTGGGCCTCTCTTGAATCCATCCAACATAGTTGTTGTTGGGAAGCATCTTACATGTTTTGCTTATTGTGGTTTAGTGAAAATTCCCAACTTAACTGCTAAAAGATAAATCTTTGCTCCCCTTCCAAAAAGAAAAAAAAAACATGCCAAGAAGGGGACCCCTACTTTCAGAAACACCGTCTCAAACCGCGCGAACACTGAACACCTCGCCCGCAGATGGCTTAGCAGTCAGCTGTGCCGTAGCCACGACCACCAGAGCCAGGGGTTCGCGGAGATGTCGTCCAGAGCCATGAGAGCCGGATCTGGGGAGGACACACTGGCAAAGACTGGTACTGACTCGCCATCTACCTGGGCTGAGGAGGAGGAGCACAACACCGGCTTCTTCTTTTTTTTTCTTCCTTTTTTGGGGGGGCGGTTGAGCTTCAAATCTCCGTGGTTTTTGGGGCTTATATAGCAAAATCTAAAATTGAGTGGTGTGGGCGGTTTTTGCGGGTGACTTCCGGTAGAACCCTAAAGGTGGTTCTTGAATGAGACTCCAGGGACACGTTGTGATGTTGCATTTTGCGCCAAACAGGGCCCTGCGAGAGGACCCCCACAAGCGGGGCTTTTTTTTAGTTTGCCCGCTTGGGCTAAGGTGATGTCATCCCAAACAGTGAGCCCTGAAACCGCAAACACCTTTCTCAGCCCAAACGTTTTGGTCATACAATTACTTAAGGCTTATTCGGATATGTGTCAAAATCGGGGCCCCAAGTATGGGCTGGATTGGGCAGGTGTCCTTCTGATTTCCCTTCAAACTAACTTGAAACGGGTACCAAGCCTAAAACAAGACACAAACCCATTACCTTGCGGGGTACTCAGACGCCATGACTGGAGGAGTCAATTGTTAGTCATTAATTAGTTAGCCCCTTCTATTGCGGTGCAGCTTTCAGGGAGTGTTGAAAAGGAGGGTTTCATGTTCCATGGCTGAAATACCACCTGATGTCCAAGCTTCACATGCCGGCCCTCCCTTTCAATGTGAGCATGGTGACCCCTTTCGAAGCATGGCCCCAGCTTTCGGGACCCATAGAAATTATTTCTCGCCTCTCAGAAAGGGGCAACCCCGGTGATCAGTTCGCCCACTTATGGCAACCTACTCACGTTGAAACATCCAAGTGCCCGCGAGTCGGTCGTCAGAAGTCGAATCCTCGTCAGCGGAAGCCTTGGTTTTGATTTTTCCATCTACCAAGTACCTGGAGTCTCCGTGGCCCGAAATAAACATGGGGTCCGTCACCCAAAATCATGGGGTCATGACCTCATTTGTAAGGGGTCAGAAGGAGACTCCATCTACTTAGCTTCCGGCAGGAGGGGGACCGGATGCCGCCGCTGCTGCTGCTCTTCCAGCTCTGCTGCATCAGTGCCATCGAGGGGATGGACATCGGCTTGCTGCCGGCCACTACCCTGGCCCTCCAAAAGCGGGGGGGTGGAAGGGGGGGCGAGTCGGCGGGTTTGTTTGTTGTTTTTTTGCGCAGGTCTGGCGTTTTTTTTTGGGGGTGGGTCGGCGTTTTGTTTTCTTTTCTGAGGCCTCCTTGAAGAAAAGGAATCTATATGTTTATGTTTGTATTTGGGGCTTTTTGGGGTTTGTATTTGAGGTGTTTGCCCAGAAAGGTGGTTGTAAGCGTCACCTTTTGGGGCGTGATTTTTGAAGTGGAAACACATTGGGAGCCCTGAGGGTTGATTGTTTGGCTAGTCGGTTTGGTTGGTTGGTTAGTTGGTTAGTTAGTTGGTTGGTTAGTTGGTTGGTTGGTTTGTGTTGGTTTGGTTGGCTGGCTGGTTGGTGGGTGGATAGGTAGGTAGGTGGGTGGGGTCGGTCGGTCGGCCGGTCGGCTTACCATGTTCGGTTCTCTAATAATTACCATGGTGTTCAGAACAACACAAATGGGTGTGGCACCCCCGACTCCAAATACCCCAGCTTGTTTCAGGGTATGATGTGTCAATCCCTGACTACAAAAGGTGGTACTTACCATAGGATGACCTTTTTTCCATAGGAAAACCGTTGTTTTTGTTCCCTCACGTTGTTTTTTTGGAAACATCCCCCTAAAGGAAGCGGGCATTGGGCCTCGGGGGTTGGGTTGGGCTGGGCTCTTGGATGTTCGAAGCTGGTGAGTGGGTAGCTTGGGATCCAATAACATCCGGGGTTCATTTGGGAGCACTTTGGTTAGCTCGACTTAGAGGCTGCGGTTTTGTGTTTTGGGCGTTCCTTGCAAGGTGGAAAGGAGCTGTGTTGATTTCAGAGGGTGGGCTGAGGTTTGCTTTACACAACACGTGTGTTCTAAAGCAGAGGCCGTGGCGGAAGGTCGTTGCATGGTGGGCAAGGGTCTATGTTATGCGCCAAATAGAGCACGCTTGATTTCCCTGAGGAAACCCAACGGGAGCGCGTTTTGTTGTTTTTTGTCGAGCTGCTATTTATAATCCGGTTTGCCGCGGTGTTCTTCTGGGATCTCTTTCAGAGGTATTTTACAGACTGTGTGTTGGGTATATCTACTTCGGAAGTTTCTAGCTAGGGATATCGCCACTTTCTAAATGGATTGGCATCCAAGTTGGGGTGTTCCTGAGTTTCTGGACTAGGAACTGAAATTCAACTCTTTTGGCCACAGTCAAGAAGTGAAATCTTCCAACCACGTCAGGGCATTATTATTGGGGTTGCTTGTCAACTTTTTGGGTGATATGTTCAGGTCGCCCGCAATTGGTGGTGAGGATTGGTGGTTTGGGGATTTGAACCCTTGGTGTTTGTGGAGGGTAAATGGGTCCTGAACCACCAAACCACCATTCCAAACCACCAAACCACCAATTAGAGGGAAGCTGATATGCGTTGTCTCTTCAAAGCCAACAGCAGGTGCAGGTCTGGGTATTTGGGGGAGCAACCACGTTTCCAAGTCCGACTCCTTGTGAGCGCTTTAGGTGAGACGGTTGTTCTTCTTGTTGTCGTGTTTTTGTGTCTGTGATTTTTGTCGGTCGTGCCGGCGGAGAAAGTCAGGCAATGTGAGGCGCTCAACAACTTGCACATGATTTTGTCTTAGGATCATGACCTGCCCTCCACTGAATCCATTTACTTGTATTGTAAGTAAACAAAAGGGCAAGCGCCACCCGATAGAAATGCCGAAAGGAACGTAGCTTGTCACCGACCTTTTCCTGGCGAAACACCGGGGATCCACTAGGTTGGTTTCACAAGGATCACCCTATGTTTTTTCTAGCCTTGCCCTGAGATCTGAAAAAATCTAGGCATCTCATCCAGATTCTTTACTTGCATATTGAGCCCTTATGTGACATTGTCCTGGATTTGCCGCAAGCCCCTGTATACAGGTATCCTGTTTTTTTTTTTTTGTGGGTGCGATTTTCTTTCCAGCTTTCCCTCAGTGACCAAAGCGGTTTTAAAGGGTGGTTCCCTTTCTCTACAACACCCGAACATACTGTGGATAGACAAACTCCTGCACCACTTTGAAACCATGGTTGAAACCATTGTTTGTTGGTATTTCCAGGGGAATCGAATCCTTCCAGGGTTTCTGAACGGTGGTGCGAAATGGATGTCGCAACCATCCACAGTACTCCATTCGCTTTGAAGCCGCTTCGGCGATCGGCAGATCCCTGGACTTGCGGCTCACCCAGATTGCGACCATGAGCCTTGCACAGGCGGTGATGCAGGCGGTTATGCTTTTTCACGGAACGCAACGGGGCCGATGGTGCCTGGAGTCTCCGTGACCCGAAATGAAATGGCTGGTCATGACCCCATGATTTTGGGTGATGACAAAGCCTGTTTGAGGGGTCATGTAGACTTTGGGGGTTTTTGTTTTTTTTCTTGCGCTCGGTGCGATGAGCATCTCATCGGCTTTTCTTGCAGCTCAGTGTGGTCGAGTCGGGCTACTCGCGGAAGCCAGGATTCAATCGCTTGCCATCGGTGCGAGCGGCCACAGGAATGAGAGTTATGCCCCCTACTCCAAATACTGTCTTTTTTCAGGGTATTATGTCGACCCCCTACTACAAAAGGAGGTATTTACCATGGGAAAACCCAGGTTTTCCCAAAAGTTAATTGAAAAAAGCGGGTATTTTGAGTAGGGGGTGCAATGACCCCCAAGAAAAAACATGAGATGGTGGTTTCCTTGTTTCGGGGACCAAAGCCTGCGTTGATTCCCTCATTCCCTGAGCACCAGCAAGTTTGCGGTCGACTTGGTCCTTGTTTGCCGTTTGTTTTGGCACGTTTGTGGGAGCTAGCCCATTCCGGTTACCTTGCAGGATGAGCAGGGTTGCTATGCATCCACGAAGTTCTTCTGAATGTTTTTTTTTGTCTCGGGGTCATTCCACTTCTCATTCCCTGCATCTCTCGCACCGATTGCAAGAAAAGCCAGCTCCCAACTGACCAGGTCGCCCGCAATTGGTGATCTGGATCAGTGGTTTGGGGATTTCCTTGGTGTTTGTGGAGGGTAAATGGAGTTTACCCCACCTTAACCACCAAACCACCGGGCTCCCACCAATTGGAGAGAAGCTGAACTGTCCACCCGTTTCGGCTTTTCCGCCGGCAGGCACTGGCAGCGCCTGTGTGGGGCGTCATGGCGGATCGGAAGGCGCATGGCTAGCTAGCCATTCGGGGTGTGAGCGTCAAGGCGATGAAGTCCTTGGAGTGACTCATCCTTTCTGCTTTTTCGAGCCGTTCGACAGCCATTCGGGGTGTCGACCGGGGGGGGAAGAGGATGTGAAGGACATGTCAATGAACCCAGAGGTCAGTTCCTGATTCTTCCGGGTCCGGATCTGTCCGGATAATCACGCAATGGGAAGACGGAAATAGCAGAATAGGCACACACCATGGCCGAAAAGGTTGGAACAGAAATGAACACATGGAACCACGCCTGTTGGGCAACCACTATGAGGTTTAGAAAGATCACCCAATCAATTGAGCTACCTGGCCCCCTCAAGAAGGAAACCCTATAGCATCAGGTTGCATGTACCCATACTTTGAGAACCCCCAATTGTTTGTGGGCAAGCAACAGGAACGTTTTACATCATGAGGCCAGCGTTTTGGTCCTATCCCAGCGGCCATGAGCCCAGAGTCTCGCGCCTTCGGGGCTCGGGAGACTCGCGCTTTCGATCCTTCCCGTGAGGTGGTGCGCAGGAAGACCTTGCTCTCGGTGGGCGCCTTCTTTCAGGGTCTTTGCGTTGTGTTTTGGCCGCAAAAGTGGCCGTCCACATGAATGGTACAAGGGTCCTGGTTGGTAGGTGAAATCACCACCCATTTCTGTTTTTATTTTAGTTGGGAGTGGGATGTTCACGGTACGGGGTTTCGACCCATAGCCAAGTGTCATGACAGCTTTTCATTCTCGGCGCCTACCCGCGTTTTTTTTTGAGGGTAATTCTCAACATGTCGACCCTCTACTAAAGGAGGTATTTTACCATGGGAAAACCCAGGTTTATCTAGGGGTACCTTCCCCATTCTTTCCAGGGATCCGGATCTTTCTAGAAAACCTCCGGAAACCCGATCGTGAAAACGGCGATCGGTTTTTGAAGAGAAGGTTGGTTGGAAAGAATGGAATCGGAAGCAACCCCTTGAGTTTTCCAAAACATACCTTGAAACCACCGGGTCTTTGGAGTAAGGCGCGCAGGGCCGCCGAAGGCCCTTTTGTTTTTCATGCTGAGCCCTGAACAACCCCACCGGTTATGAGGTAATGAGCGGTCCCGGTCTCCCTGGAAAATAGAAGCCCCACTAAAAAGGACCCCCCCCCTGGTTACTCGCCGGGATGTCTATGCATCAACAGTTCCCTGGAACCTCAATGCACGTCCCCAAAATGAATGTAGCTGTGTGTCAAACATAGGTCCTCATTTGGGGAACTATGGTAACTGGAGATATGGAGTACAACCTTGCGGCCCCCTTGTGGTTTTAATTTTGACCCACACCCATATGTTGAAATTCGAGGGCTTGGAACAAGCCCAGGATGTTCGATTTCGCGCCAGGTTGTTGGTCGATTTTGGGGGTGCTTGTTCGGGGGGCGCTGGCGGGGCCCCCAATCACCAGCCTGCTGAAATCATACACCCTCTTTTTGACAAGGAAGTGGACAAGAGGCTTCCCAAAAGGAAAGTCGTCTTCCAAAACCCCTGGTCAGGTTCCGATGGAGGGAAGGTATTCGTAACTTTGAGCTTACCCAAAGGGAAACCAAAGTGTCGCTGTACTTGATCCAGACCTGTTGAGCACTGATGACCTGGTTCTGGGAAGCCATGGAAAAGCTGGCTTCACGTATTCTCAGGGTTTATGTTACATCTTTCCCTGGAAGCTGGTTTTAACTGGAGTCTATCACTACTGGAAGTATGTGTCCTTCTTCTTTTTGTGCTGAATAGCCCCTAACTCTGAATAGCCCCTAAGAAAACCAACAGGGCAAGGGTACTTCTTTCATGTTTGTTAAACCCCGTGTATAATTGATGTGTGTGGGTTTCTTGCGGGTTCCCTTTTCACCTTGGTTTTAAGGGAAGCCAACAGAGCACGCATAATATGGCTCAGGCTTTCACGCAAACAAGCAAACATCTGGTGTAGTTACTGGGTGTTTTTGTTGCTTCTGACTCGCCACTGAAGCTTAGGTGGCATTATCCTGGACTGAGGGCTACTACCTGATGATTTTCCTGAGACTCGGCCTTGACAAACAAATTTGCGTCGAGGGATTCCACCGCGTCGGGGAGTTGCGCAGGCGGTTTCAGGGATCTGGCTGGGGTTTCAGGGATCTACCTGAACCCTCAAAATTCCCTTAAAAATGGGTTGACCCCCAAATTTATGGGGTGATATCCCATTTTTATGGACCCTCAAACTAACATGATCCCAGCCTTAGCCCTGAAGGCAGCCCACTTGCATTGGCAGGTGTCCCCTTAGATCGGGGATCGATATTAGCCAGGCTCAAACAAGCGGTAAACGGGTCTCGACCCTGGAATGGTCGCATTTTCTGGTCCTTCTTCAAAGAGGATTGCTCCTTCGGACCGTTCCGGACCAGACGATAGACTGGGTCAATGCATTTGCTTTCATTTGGGTGGGTACGCAAAAAGATATTGGTGGTTCCCAACCGTTCCCTTAAGGTTTTTGTTGTTGAATTCAACCCACTAAAAGTTAAACTTTGAACCGGGGATTTGACAGCCCAGAAATAGGAGACACCCAAACTGATGGTTTTCCAACTTGCAAGGGTTCCTTTTCCAACCCAAGGGTCGCCTAGAAGTTCCTGCCATGTTTCCCGATTCCAATTCGCTCGGGTCTGAACGTCATCTGAGCCTTTGGGTGGTTTAAGAATTCAGATGGGTACTGCTGCGGAATGGTTGAGAAGTCCATTTCGCACCACTTTGAAGCCATGGTAACTGGCCAAGAAGAGACTCGCAAGGTGTTTGTTCCTTCAAACCTTCAAGAGTGTACCTGGACCCTCAAACTACCCCGAGCAAGAGGCAATTCCTCCTGACTTTGGGGCAGTCTCTGATTTTTAAGAGAATTGTGAGGGTCCAGGTCTCAAAGAGTTCTGCTTGTCTCCCATGAGGGGCCTTGGAGCCATTTTTGCGAAAATCCGATAGGCCAAGAAAAGCAGCGGATCAGCACAAGTTTGGGGTACCGTGCAGGCCCGGGAAAGCGCTAGCCCAAGTCCTTCTCCAAAAAAACGAGCGCAGTTCTAAGGGTTGCTTCCCCATTCTTTCCAGGGATCCGGATCTTTCTAGAAAACCACCAGAAACCCTGGAGGAAAAAAATGCAGCGATCGGTTTTTCAGAAAAGAACGATGGTTGAAAAAGAATGGAATTGGAATCAACCCCTAGAACAGTCATCCCCTCCTACCGAGATACACCCAAAGAAACCGCCCCGCCAAGCAAAGGGACTGCTAGTCAGAAACATACACCCATATACCGGGCGGCCATTCTCCCTGGGCCAAGATGCGCAAAAACTGCCCAGCGGCGAACATACATCTCGTACCTTCCCAAGCACACAACTTTTCGTAGGATGTTGGAAGTACCGTACCATGTTTCATCAAGACCTCCCCGGGGAGGTCAAAAAAAACAGTTTCCGTGTGAAATGTCCTCCAGGTCTCCAATTTGCGGGGCTTCACTCCCCCCCTTCTGCCGCCTTCCAAAAACCCCGGCGCCGCCTTCTAAGGCGCAGCGTGAACGGGGCCATGTTGGCCTCCCTGAAACCCGTGTGCGTGGGCATCGTGGCGGACACCACGTCCGAGCTGAACCGAGGGAAGAGCCTCGGAATGCGAAGCGGTTGGGTTTCGTTTCGGGACGGAGGAGATACGAGGCGCTGGAAGGGCTGGGTACCTCTTTGGTGGTTGGTTTAAAGGAAAACCAAAGGGAACAAACACGTTGCGCCACTTTGGGGGGTCCGGTTCCTGAAAAGAGAGACACCCATTTGGACTCGCTTCCTGAGTTCCGTTTCGGGCATGTGGGACCCGTTGATTGCCAATCCACACGATCGGAAGTGAGGGGAACCTAAGCCATACGAACAAGGACACAACAATTTGGGAAAGAGGTTACCAAGGATGCAGCTTCCAGCACCCCCAGCTGCGGTATCGGCACGGGTGTTAGAACTTGAACAGGCTGTTGTGTGGTTCAAGCGGTGTTGCTTCCTTTTTGTAGGAAAGTGGGTTTTCTCACTCCCTGGAAGATCAATGTATATAGTGTTAAATAACTAACAAAATGGTGACTTTGTTTTGGCCAATCCACTGGATCGGAAGTGAGAAAGCAATGCTTTGTCATACCAAGGGACTCCTCCTTTCAGCCGGTCCACTTTGGTATCACAGCAAGGGCAATTGTCTAGGTCCCCAGGTAGTGCCCTTTTATCCTTTTTGGGGGAGGGTTCCCCTACTAAAATAGACTACACAAAAAAAGGTACCCTTATTCTAACCTCTCTACTGGGGGACCTAGTTGTGTCATGTTCCACAACTCAGCTCTTTTCTTTTGTTTTTCCCCGGCCAAATTTCAACTTGGCAGAGCTTCGGACGTCAGGATCTACGGGTACCTGCAGTTCTTCGTGACGGCTGCTTGGTACTGGCCGAACTCGGATTTGCATTACCACCCAGTCTTACTTACCGCCCTTCTTCCCCCCTTTTTGGGCTTCCTTCGTCAAAGAGACACCTCACTTTTGGGGCTCGTCTGACAGGACAGCCGTTTTGTGGGATGCGTGTCGTTTTGTGGGTAAGGCGAGCCATAGGCGCACCATCGGACCTGGTCCCCCGTTTGGCAAGCCGCCATGTATAAGATAAGGTGGTGTCCATCTTAGAACGTGTCCCTTTTCGCGGAAGGATCGCCACAGGGCGAGGATTTCGAAATCGAAATGGTGCAACAGGCCTCCAGTGGCTTGCGAGCCCTCCGTCAAAACCACTGCTTTTTGTTTGGCCCAAAAAGGGGCACATACGCCTCTTGACCGCAAAAAAAGCCAGAGGCCGTAGGCCTCTCGGGGCTCCCAGGAGGTCTGAGGGTCGGAAGCTTTGGGCTTTTGAGGTGGGGATGATGCTGGTGGCGCTGATCGCCACGCCCATGTCTCAAGCGACCATCGCGGGCTTCGAGGCAGGCCGACCTCGAAATCGCCGTTTTCAGAGGCTCCAATTCGAAGCAAAGTGCTCGCGCCCGACTTCCGGGCGTGAGGGAGGGGACTACTCACCTGTGTCATGATTCTGACCTTGTGGCAAAGCAAGCCAAGTGCTCGCGAGACGTCTGGCGGTTTTTTTGGCCCGCAGGTGTTGTTGCAGCGTGGGAACGTGGCTGCGACTATGGCTTGTGTAGAATTGTGTTGGCAGATGGGATGTGGCAGAGATGAGCTGGGCTTGCCCACGACGCTTGCGACCCTTTTTGGGGGGTGAGTCTTGTCAAGTGCGAATGATGCTGAGCCCAACGCCGGATTGCTTACCTTGGCAGAAACTTGATTAAGGCGTGATTTGCGGCTTCCGTTGGGTGGAAGCCCTTGAAAGGTGTTGAGTTGTTGATGCCTTACGGCCCGAGTGATTGAAGACAATCTGTCAGGTCTCGTTCGGCTGAGGCCCTCATGATGAGTTCAAGATGCACACCACTCATAGGCTGACGGGCAGAAGCATTGACAGAATGATTTAGCAGGTAACGGTAGGCTGTAGTAGACGGAAGAACGCAGCTGTAGACACAGTGGGCGGCGAGCACTTGACAAGCAAGGCTTGCGGTCAAAAAAGGCTTACGACGAGCGAGAGGATGAATTGGGTAAGACTCAAACTTCGCCGACTTCCGGGCGTGAGGCCCACGCACCTGTGTCATGATTTTGACCTTGTGGCAAAGCAAGCCAAGTGCTGGTGCAACGCCTCGCCGGCAGGTGTTGTTGCAGCGTGGGAACGTGGCTGCGACTATGGCTTTGGTAGGATCGTGTTGGCAGATTGGATGTGGCAGAGATGAGCTGGGCTCGCCCACGACACTTGCGACCCTTTTTGGGGGGTGAGTCTTGTCAAGTGCGAATGATGCTGAGCCCAAAGCCGGATTGCTTACCTTGGCAGAAACTTGATTAAGGCGTGATTTGCGGCTTCCGTTGGGTGGAAGCCCTTGAAAGGTGTTGAGTTGTTGATGCCTTACGGCCCGAGTGATTGAAGACAATCTGTCAGGTCTCGTTCGGCTGAGGCCCTCATGATGAGTTCAAGATGCACACCACTCATAGGCTGACGGGCAGAAGCATTGACAGAATGATTTAGCAGGTAACGGTAGGCTGTAGTAGACGGAAGAACGCAGCTGTAGACACAGTGGGCGGCGAGCACTTGACAAGCAAGGCTTGCGGTCAAAAAAGGCTTACGACGAGCGAGAGGATGAATTGGGTAAGCCTCAAACTTCGCCGACTTCCGGGCGTGAGGCCCACGCACCTGTGTCATGATTTTGACCTTGTGGCAAAGCAAGCCAAGTGCTGGTGCGACGCCTCGCCGGCAGGTGTTGTTGCAGCGTGGGAACGTGGCTGCGACTATGGCTTTGGTAGGATTGTGTTGGCAGATTGGATGTGGCAGAGATGAGCTGGGCTCGCCCACGACACTTGCGACCCTTTTTGGGGGGTGAGTCTTGTCAAGTGCGAATGATGCTGAGCCCAAAGCCGGATTGCTTACCTTGGCAGAAACTTGATTAAGGCGTGATTTGCGGCTTCCGTTGGGTGGAAGCCCTTGAAATGTTTGAGTTGTTGATGCCTTACGGCCCGAGTGATTGAAGACAATCTGTCAGGTCTCGTTCGGCTGAGGCCCTCATGCTGAGTTCAAGATGCACACCACTCATAGGCTGACGGGCAGAAGCATTGACAGAATGATTTAGCAGGTGACACAGTGGGCGGCGAGCACTTGACAAGCAAGGCTTGCGGTCAAGAAAGGCTTGCGACCAGCGAGGATGAATTGGGTAAGCCTCAAACTTCGCCGACTTCCGGGCGTGAGGACCACTCACCTGTGTTTTGATTCTGACCTTGTGGCAAAGCAAGCCAAGTGCTCGCGAGACGTCTGGCGGTTTTTTTGGCCCGCAGGTGTTGTTGCAGCGTGGGAACGTGGCTGCGACTATGGCTTGTGTAGAATTGTGTTGGCAGATGGGATGTGGCAGAGATGAGCTGGGCTTGCCCACGACGCTTGCGACCCTTTTTGGGGGGTGAGTCTTGTCAAGTGCGAATGATGCTGAGCCCAAAGCCGGATTGCTTACCTTGGCAGAAACTTGATTAAGGCGTGATTTGCGGCTTCCGTTGGGTGGAAGCCCTTGAAAGGTGTTGAGTTGTTGATGCCTTACGGCCCGAGTGATTGAAGACAATCTGTCAGGTCTCGTTCGGCTGAGGCCCTCATGATGAGTTCAAGATGCACACCACTCATAGGCTGACGGGCAGAAGCATTGACAGAATGATTTAGCAGGTGACACAGTGGGCGGCGAGCACTTGACAAGCAAGGCTTGCGGTCAAGAAAGGCTTGCGACCAGCGAGGATGAATTGAGCAGCGATCAAAAATGCTCAAAGCAATTTAAGTAAGGGAGCGCTGATATCAATCCGCGCGGAAGGTTTTCTGCAGGCCGCGGAAGCTTGCGGAAGGGCCGGCGGACTTGACTAAGAGATTTGCGCCGCGGAAGGGCGCGGAAGGGGAACATTTTTGGAGCGTCAAAAGCGTGTAGAAATATTTTGCTCTTGTTTGGGCCCAGCAGTTGTTTTCGCTTCCGGGCCAAAAAACAATTTGTTCGGGCATCGTTTCCGCACCCCGGGCTTGCAAGTGGCCTCACAATCTGTTTTGGCCGTCAGCCGCAAGAAACTTTGCGGCGGGAGGACTCGAGCCCCAAGATTTTCCACTTGGCGGGATAGCTGCGCATGTTTTCCCGAGTCACCACGCAGGCCTCTTGGAAATGATTGGCTGGGCCGAAATTTTCGTTTGAATCGAAGCGAAGCAGCCAGGGCCAAAAACGATTTGAATTGTTTTTGCTCCCGGGGAAACGATCTTTTGCTTGGCTGAAAAACGATGGGCCCGAATTTTTGCTCCCGCGGCTGAAAAACGATTTGTTCGGGCCCAACAAATCGCTTTTGGCTCCCGGGGCTGAAAAACGATTTGTTCGGGCCCAACAAATCGCTTTTTGCTCCCGGGGCTGAAAAACGATTTGTTCGGGCCCAACAAATCGCTTTTGCTCCCGGGGCTGAAAAACGATTTGTTCGGGCCCAACAAATCGTTTTTGCTCCCGGGGCTGAAAAACGATTTGTTCGGGCCCAACAAATCGTTTTTGCTCCCGGGCTGAAAAACGATTTGTTCGGGCCCAACAAATCGCTTTTGCTCCCGGGGCTGAAATACGATTTGTTCGGGCCCAACAAATCGTTTTTGCTTCCGGGGCTGAAAAACGATTTGTTCGGGCCCAACAAATCGTTTTTGCCCCCCGGGCTGAAAAACGATTTGTTCGGGCCCAACAAATCGTTTTTGCTCCTGGGGCTGAAAAACGGTTTGTTCGGGCCCAACAGATCGTTTTTGCTCCCGGGGCTCAAAAACGATTTGTTCGGGCCCAACAAATCGTTTTTGCTCCCGGGGCTGAAAAACGATTTGTTCGGGCCCAACAAATCGCTTTTGCTCCCGGGGCTGAAAAACGATTTGTTTGGGCTAAACAAATCGTTTTTTTGTCCCGGGGCTGAAAAACGATTTGTTCGGGCCAAACAAATCGTTTTTGCTCCCGGGGCTGAAAAACGATTTGTTCGGGCTAAACAAATCGTTTTTGCTCCCGGGGCTTAAAAGCGATTTGTTCGGGCTAAACAAAGCGTTTTTGAACCCCGGGCCTTACATGCGTGGAGATTGATGTTGGGCTGAATTCGCGGAACACTGGAGGAAGGGCGCGGAAGGACCGCGGAAGGGTTCCGTGATTTGGATGACTTGTGTGCGATGTGTTGTTCTCGTTGGCCCTGTGCGGGAATCGTAGCCGCGGTGTGTCGTGAGGCTTCACGTTTGCGTTGCAAATCTATTGGGATTCGCGTTTCAGGGCTCGTCGTGACCCATAAACCATTTGCTACAGCCGTCTACTGCTCGTAACAGAAACTGGATGGCTCCACGTTGCACAAGGATGTCTCAAGCACAGGCTCGCAATCTCTTCAGGGCTTCCCCAGCATGGCTGTTTCACTTACCTGTTTCTAGCGTCCAAGCCTTTAGTATCACCAGCTATGCCGCCAAATCCAAAGCCATGGGCCGATCTGGCCTCATCTTCCGTGGATCTAGTTGTGTTGGCTTGGCAAGAGAGACGCAAGCCGCGGAAGGCGCGGAAGGGAAATGAGAGCGCGGAAGCAAACGCCCGCAGCGCGGAAGCGCGCGGAAGCACGCGGAAGCGCCAAATGATATCAGCGCAGTTTGGCCTATTGATTTTGATCACCGCTCAATTGGGTAAGCCTCAAACTTCGCCGCCTTCCGGGCGTGAGTGAGGACCACTCACCTGTGTTTTGATTCTGACCTTGTGGCAAAGCAAGCCAAGTGCTCGCGAGACTTCTGGCGGTTTTTTTGGCCCGCAGATGATGTTGCAGCGTGGGAACGTGGCTGCGACTATGGCTTGTGTAGAATTGTGTTGGCAGATGGGATGTGGCAGAGATGAGCTGGGCTTGCCCACGACGCTTGCGACCCTTTTTGGGGGGTGAGTCTTGTCAAGTGCGAATGATGCTGAGCCCAACGCCGGATTGCTTACCTTGGCAGAAACTTGATTAAGGCGTGATTTGCGGCTTCCGTTGGGTGGAAGCCCTTGAAAGGTGTTGAGTTGTTGATGCCTTACGGCCCGAGTGATTGAAGACAATCTGTCAGGTCTCGTTCGGCTGAGGCCCTCATGATGAGTTCAAGATGCACACCACTCATAGGCTGACGGGCAGAAGCATTGACAGAATTATTTGGCAGGTGACGGTAGGCAATAGTAGACGGAAGAACGCAGCTGTAGACACAGTGGGCGAGCACTGGGAAGCAAGGCTTGCGGTCAAAAAAGGTCTTGCAACAAGCGATCATCCTTGATTATGAGGAAGCCAACGGCCTGACAATAAGACCCTGAGCACCTTTCCCTTTCTTTTACTCACTTCGTTCGTCTCACATATTATGTATGTCTTCCCTTGTCTATTTCCCTTTATTTCATTGTCCCTTTATTATTTTCCTTTTCTTTTATGAGTTCCTATCGCTCACCTATACGGGGAAGATATGGGAGAGCGCGGAGGTGAGCGAATCATGAATCTTCTTCCTGTCCCTTTCTTTTACTCCTAATCACCTGCCAACAAATAATTCTAATAGTAAAAGCAGGTGATGGGATCCCTTCGTCTCTCCCTTTCGTTTCCACTCTCTTCCTCGCTTTTCTCGTCATCATGTGTCTCGGAAGGACCGAAGGGATGGAGAAATAGACACGAAGGGAAGGGATGACGAGGGAAGTGCTCACACGTTCACCCTGTTCTCTCCCAAATGCAGAAATAGATAAGGGAGCGTGAGAAGGAACGAAAGTGAGTGGACAAGCACCTGACATCCCTTCTTCCCTGCATGTCCTGTCTGTTTCCTTCACCTCTTACCCACTTCCTTTTCATTTGCTACGTCGTGGGTACCCAACAGCTCGGAAAGACAGGCATGAGTGAATGTGTCCTTTCCTACCTCTCTCCCTCCTCTCCTACCTATGACTCACGAAGGGAGAGAATGGTGGGGCCTTCAAACAACCTGGTTTTGAGACCGGGTCCCAACACATTTCGAGGTGTCTAATGGAGGGGTCGGGTCTTCCATTGAAAGCCCCAGGAGCCTCTGGGCAGGACTTTTCGAGCCTCGGAATTGGGCGTGTTCGCTCAGTTCGGAAAGTTGGACAGCACCTGTGTTACCCTCCCAGCAATAAACACATGGAACCGGACATGCGGGAAATGGTCCCTTGTGTTTTGCTGTGTGGACTTTAAAGTTGTTCATGGAATGTTGCTTGTCGATGTTGTCGTTGTTGTTTTTCATGCGTGTTTCTTCGAGCTGGGCATTGTCGTTTGCTTTGGGTTCTTGACACTTGGACTGGGAAGCCAAAAGGGAAGCGGAGGGCAAGTCTTTGGAGCTGAGTGCAGAGGTTTGCTGGTGCCCGCTCGGCACCCACTCGTTACCAGTGGATGGAAGGGCCATTTGGCCGTGGCTCAAGGGCCAACATGGCACCTTGGGAAATAGACACGAAGACCAAATCCGGCGTAACCCTAGCTAGTTAATTTTGAGCCACGGAGCAAGGGTCCACGGTGACCACCCCATGAGTGGTATTTGAAGGGAAGCAGCAGAAATGGGGTCCATTGACCCCATTTCTGCGGGGGGTGTGCACTTCCATGATTCTTGGAGCGGTGGATCCCCGGCGTTTCACCACTACAGACCCTTCGCTTCTTTGTGTCCTTTGGATTCCCAGAGGCTCCAATTCGATTGATGGGCCTTCAAACAACCTGGTGTTGAGACCGGGTCCCAACCACCTGAGGGGTGTCTAATGCTTCGGGGTCGGGTCGTCCATTGAAAGCCTCAGGAGCCTCTGGGTTGTGAAAATTGGTGGAACAAACCAAGTTGCTCTAGTTGGTGGTCTTAGCTCCTTTCGAATTGCTGAGTGTTCCCGAAACGGGTTCCTTAGGGTTCCTTATAAGCCGTAAACCTCCCGCCCTTGGACCACCCCCCAAATGAGATGTCCTAAACCATGTTGGTAGCAACATGTCTCCTCCACGCAATCAAAGACTCCAGGGTTGTGGGATCAAGGGGGTCATCCTTCTGTGATACAAGGGAATCTCCCGCTTTCTATGGGGTATGGCAGCAGTGGATTGCACTTCCCACAGTGACTCCCTGAGCTCCGTTTCGGAAGTCATACGTTTTGGGTTTGGTTGCCATACGGTAAGTTTCATGGATCCAGACCTTCTCTCAATCGGAGATGGCAGTGCCCCACCATCGTAGGGCTGGCGCGTGGCCTTTGTGCTCATCGGCGGCTTCGCCATCTTCACCGCCTTCTTAGTCAAGGCGGCTGACTTTGGGCATGACAAGTAGGGGTTTACATGGGTCGGGGTGTGGCGTGGCGTGGTGTGGGCTGTGTGGTGTGTTGTGGGGTGTGTGGTGTGTGTGTGTGGTGTGTGGTGTGTGTGTGGCAACATGTTAGCGGTGAAGACCAAGTTTAGATTTATGGGGCCAATCCACTCGGGCATAGGTAAGGATGGTTTTTGGTGCTCCTTAAATGACAGCTATAAAGCCGTTGTGCAGGCACGGATTTTGGGGTGGGGGATGCAAGTAGGAGCTTCCAAGCTTCAGGTTCTTGATGCCCAAAACAGATCCACCGATGATGATCATACCCCAGACACCCAAAAGGTTGCCTTTTTTGGAACGGAAAGCCTCTATGAAGTCAAACCAAGCAAAGACTGCACTGCCATTTCTTCCCCTCCAAACCCACTGGAGGTCGGGGATATCGTCCCAGGAAACACCGGCCTTCTGCTGAAACTGCTTATGTTTTCGGAGGAAGCTAAAAGGAGACAGGGATCCCGGATCTCTTCGCTTGGATGACTCGCCCAGTGAATTGATACAAACCTCAGTTAGGATTCGTCCCCTTTAGTGCGTGCGTGTGTGTGTGTGTGTGTGTGGATGTAGGGCTAATTAAGATCTACCGAAGTTCTATTATCGGTGACTTGCAGAGAGTTATTTACGATTTTCCAGGCCAACATATGCTTGGATCTGTTTTCGGACTTGCCGTCTTCCCAACAACAATGGAAGTGGATTCTCCAACTTCCATTAATGGAAAGAGGGTACTTGGTGCCACTTGATTTAGTCTCCAAACCTGCCTTTTCATATGTGTGTATTTCTTAAGGGTAGCCTTGTGGGGGTGGCCTATATGGAAGCCGGGGAAAAACAAATCACACACACAATCCATCCTGTGAGTCCTTGACACACACCCGTGAGCCAGAGTTGTGAAGCCTTAGCAGCGTGGCCTCCGACCCCGGAACCCACCCCGTGCGCTACGTTCTAAGGGTTTTTGTATTACAACTGGGATTACACCTGGGTATTGACCCCATTTGGGCACATGTCCGGAAAAGATCCGCGTTTTTTTGAAGCATGGGTCATTAGGGCGCAATCCCAGGGTGTACAAAAACCCTCAGATTACGTGGCTTTGGGCCACCAGGTCTTTATGCACGAAGTGCGGCAGCAGAAGACCTGGGATGAGGGCGCCAAGACGCCCGGCGCAGCGAGTTCCAAATGGCCATGGGTTTTTGACTAGGTCCCCCAGCAATGGGTGCCAACTTGTACCGTTTCTTTTTTGGTTGGGAGGGTTCCCCTACTAAAATAGACTACAGAAAAAAATAGGGTACCCTTATTCTAAGCTCTCTACTGGAGGAGCTAGTTGAGTTGGTACCCCTAGTAGAAGAAAGGTTGACGAAATTTGGATGATGACAATGCTGAATGGTAGACTCTGGTGGCTATGTGAGCCCCCATTGTTTTAATGGTGGCATTCAACGTTTTGCCATCTTTGAGAGAAGCGTTTTGCAGGGGGAGGGAAGGCTGGAAGGCAATGACCCAGGGTTTTGCATATTTGAACTTCGGGATTCCCTCAAAAGGACACCACATCGGGGATGATTTGTATGGGTCCTTCTATGTCTGAATTCCCTGCATCTCCCGCAGCCAGCAAGCTGAGCCCGTCGAATCCGATCCGAGGAAGGGAGGCTGTGAGGGCTTCAAGGACGAGCTGCGGAAACTGGCAAGCGCGGACGTCGGCTGTCGGACGGTCGGAGCCATGTGTGGATTGGGGTACTGTTGACCCAGGATCTAAGTAGAACCCGTCCCATTATTAGGGTGCTGCTCCCTCCAAAAGTGATGAATCCCCACTAAAAGGGGGACACCCCCCTATTAATCAACCAGTGGTTTATTAATCCGAGGTTAACATTACTAGTACAAAGCATGGATTTGGGATTTGGAGCCTAAACATTAGTGGTGGAGTCCCTTTAGTTTAGTTGGTGACAAGCCCAGCCATCCGGTTCCTTCCCCCCATTTGTCACTGGGGTTACGCAGCAGTTTCTGGTGCCTCCAAACCGATTGTTATATTTCAGGGTGGGGGGGGGGGGGGAGTAGGTTGCAAAAGGTTAACTCACTTCCTGAGTTCCTGGGCTTTCAACCTCTTCGGGAAGACCATTTTAGGGGAAAATGTAAAAGATCTCAAACTTTTTTAGGCAAATCCACGTGAGTTAACCTGGGCCCTCACAAATAAGTGTTTGCAACCCACACTCATCGTCCGCGAATTATCATGTCTTTTTAATGAGTACTTACTTTTGAGGTTGCAGGCACACTTGAAAAGGTTGGCTAGGTATGAAATGGAAACCACTGAGTCTCCTCTTGGGAGCCAAGACAAAGTGGTTAACCTTTGACTTGCTGGTGCGATAGCGAATGTGGGAATGAACTTCATGGGATTCCCGAAAAAAGGAAACCACAACGGGGATGGTTCTCGGGGTCATTCCCTAACTCTCATTTCCCTGCATCTCTCGCATTGATGGCAAGTTCTATCAGACCACAAGATGCTATGTCCCACGAAATTGGACAAGTTGCCCCAACTGTCACTTGGGGTCCCCACTAAATTGGACAAGTTGCCCACGGTCGCTTGAAGGCCCTAATTGGAATCATAGTTGGCCTTTTTGTTTGATTTGGTTGAAAATAGAGGGCCCTGATTTACCTGGTGGTTCAATCAACTACCAGGGCCATCTACTTTCCCAAAAAGGACACCTGCTGTTGTTTGGCTTTTTAGTGTTTAATGGGGATGTCCATTTAACCCACTAACAGCTAGTCCCTTTTAGCCGGGGATCTGAGGAGAGCCCAGGTTGGAATATGCATCCACCCCCCCCTTTATTTTTTTCCGCGTCGAAGCTTGAAGCCTTGCAGTCTACTTCACCATGCCCACCTTCCTCTGCCTGATCGCCCAGGGTGTGCCCACTGGATGCATCCGCCTTTTCGTGTCGGCGTGTCGGGGGCAAGAAGCAGGGGTATCCCTCCGAACCCGGATCCCCAAGAAACTCGAACATAAAAAGGAGTTCACCCCAGAGCTTTGGGGCAATCACACATGTTTAAGGGAATTTCTGAGGGTCCCCGGTACCAGCCTCCCCCCCAGGAAAACAAGAGAGAAGTGGGTGCCTTCTACACAACCACCAACAGAAAGGTTTAAGTGCACACTCCCAGGTAATTTCGCGTGCTTCGCCCTGCGCGGCGAAAAAAGCGAAACACCAAACACGCAAACATCGCGTTTTTGTTTTTTTGTTTTTCTCCAAGCGCCGTCTTTCCGTCGTTCTTGCCGAGGTTTGGGGCGGTTCCATGGAACGCCTTCAACTTCGCCACCTTGTACTTCCAGGCTTTGGGCCGGGCAGTCGGCAGTCCCGGGGGCCGGGGGCCAGTCCGGGCAATGCGTGAGGGACCTGCCGAAACAAAGACTAGTTGCTTTTTTTTGGGGGAGGGTTCCCCTACGAAAATAGACTACAGAAAGAAAAACAAAGTTGGAACCCTTATTCTAACCTCTGTACTGGAGGACCTGGAAGATGTTCAAAGCCGTGTTTGATGTTCGACGTTTTCACGGGGAAGGAAAGAAAACTTATGTTTTGTGGGGGCCGTTCGGGACCTCCCGTGTTTTATGTTCGATGTTTTCATGGGGTTGGAAAGGACGCACTTCATTTTTTATGGCCCCTCTTTGTGAGAAGCCCATTTTGATTACTTTGAACCTCTTGATTTTGATTGGGCGGTGTCTCCTGTAAAAATCCGGATCCCGACCCAAGTGAGTATGGGGGCTCACCCTTCCAGAACCCGGTGGAGGCACCTTGCGTATGTGTCAAAGGGGGACCCCCCAAAGTTGTGGTCTTCCAGTTTTTAAGCTTCCATTTCAACTGAAATGAATATGTTGTTACTTCCCATTTTTGGCTAAGGGAATCGACTTCACTGTATGATTTGTGTGTTGGAGGTTTTTTCTAGGGGGCTTGAGCAAATGGAGGAAAGAAGATGACAAGCTTAAAGGAAATCGGCCCGATTCCTATTTGGGAGGCTCGTCTTTGAGTCGGACCCGCAACATGGCCTCTGCTTTTCTGGTCGTTTCCCTTTAAAACCACAAATCTTGGTGGCCATCCCCTTAGCCTTTTAGCTTTTTAGTGTGTAGTGGTTGGATGTCCATCTAACCCACAAAAAGTTTGTCCCTTTTAGCGGGGGATCTGAGGACAGCCCAGAAACGACGAGGCACTTGGCAGAGTCCACGGTATGTTCTTCTAATTGTCCAACGTCCAAAACCAAGTGCTGTGAAAAAAGCAGTCGAGGGGGCGCACTTGATATTTGTTAGACATGATTCACCTGTTTTAACGCGATCCTTTGAGCAATGAAAAAGGGGCATGGCCCACTTTGGCATCACGAAAAGTATTCCTCAGGTTCTGCATAATTTATGGCGAGCTCACTGGGTAAAACAAGCTCACCAACGGATCCTCCACTTGAGGATCCCTCATTTCAGGCTGTGGAAACCTTGAACCAATTGCACAAATCGTTTCCAACCATGGTGCCGCGGTACTCAGAAGAACGTGGGCTCCAAAAAGCCATGGAGGAATCTCCTTGGGAATGGAACTGGTTTGGTGAGCATGGAAGCTCACGGCTCTGAGGCTGGAAGACAATGTTTCTCTGCAAGATACCTTGTCCTCAGAGGTTGCATTGGTTGCGTCGGGAGAAACTGCCTGCCTCAAACCCCCCAGTGTTTCGGGAGGCAGTTTCTATACCAATGTTTCTTTAGTCGGGCAGTTGGTTTCGGAGCCATAGGGGTTCCAGCGTCCGGTTTCAAAGACTGGTTCGGCCCACAGGTGAGGGGCTGGGGCTAAGGTTTGTTTACATCGATTTGCTTGAGAATGTCTGTGATTTTCCTTAAAAACAGGAATCTGTCACTACTACATGACGGAACATATGTTCTTTTTTTTCTTTCCCAGGGGGCCCCTAAAAGCAAATGGAAGAGATGTCCGGTCCGGACACCAGAGAACAAATCGCCAAGTCAATGGCCTTCGTCAAGGTTGAGGGAGGTGGTTTAGGTCAACGTCTTTGATGCTGCGAGAGATGTCACAGGAATGGGAGTTATGGAATCCCAAGAACACCATCCAACTGGTGGTTTCTTTCCTTTAAGGGAATCCTTAGCTTTCCCCATTTCACACAGCTACAAATGGACACCGGGTAAAGCAGGGTTTTGCCTAATGCTAACCCCAGATCCTAAGTAGAACCCCTGGTGGATTTTGAGAGATGGGGGTGTCCCCTTTTAGTGGTTGGATTCAGACCACTTTTGGAGGGGTTTCACCCCCCTAATGGGACGTGTCAACATTAATCCTGGGTCAACATTAGGCTCGTTCGGGGTGGGTGGGGCTTCCTTGGATCAACCCACCGACTGTCCGTCGATCCATTCGATCCAGGTCTCCGGGATGTCGGACAACGCGGCGGCCTCGCTGACGACGAGCCCCAGTTGCAACCGGATGCCGCCCTTTTGTTGATCTCTTTTTTGGGGTGCCCCAAAGTGAGGCTCAACCAACCACAACACAGTTTCTCATGATTTTGTTTGGAAGGGCCTCCCCTTTAAAAAAGAGCTTAGCCAAACAAGGCCGCCAACTTTTTTGCACTGGTTGCATCTGAGGATCTTTCAAGTGGCCTGTGCCTTTGGCAACATCCTCGGAGGCGATCGATGCGATCGTTTTGTGTTCGGGGCGAGTCAGTCAAAAGTCGCGCCCCAGTTTTGCGTTTCAGGTTTTTTTGGCTTGTTCCCCGGTTCCAGGAACCCCTCAGTGGGTGAGTTTGGTGGTTTGGGATTGGAACCCCTGGCTTTCGTAGAGGGTGCAGTAGATGCCTTGTCTTGTTTGTGTGTTTCTCCACGCAGCGGATGGCAACAGAGAGGGTGCCATGACGAACACGCGGCAACCCGGTACTTGGGTGTTCGTTGCCAACTTAGCCAGTTCTTGGCAACCTAGGCTACAACCCACTTACAAGTACCCCAAAGTGGGGTTAACCTAACTTGGCGAATCGAACATTCAAGTACAGCCGTCGCAGCCCTCGTGAAGCCTGGCGAAACGACGTGTATTGAAGGCTTTGGATTGCCAGGAACTGAAAGGTTGGCGAACGATGTGAGCTGCTGGTTTCCGTGGAAGGAGCTAGCCCGGTGGTGCTTGGAGGGTGGTACGCCTCAGAAAGCTCTGTACGCCTGCAAAATCCCTCAAAGGATAGAACTGGGCCAGTCAGAATCTCACCTTTGCCAGTTGATGCCCTTGTAAAGCACGTGGATTTTGGATGTGGGGTGCTCAGTTACTCAGATGGGTCCAGAGTGACATCCTCAAAAATACCATCCGAAAGGTGGTTCAATCTAGGGGTTGATTCCCCATTATTTTCAGCCATCGTTTTTTTCAACAACCAGCCATTTCCGAAGGTTTTTGTGGTTTTTAGAAAGATGGGGATCCCTGGAAAGAATGGGGAAGGTATCCCTAGAAATGGTTTTTATAAAATCCCTCTAGGCAAAATCCGCTGTGGTTCTGTAAAAAGAAGGATGGGAAAAATGGAACTGGAAGTTACTCTAGATTTAAAGGGAAACTGTCCCCAAAAGTATGTTTCTTCCCTCAAAACAAAGGCCTTTTGAGAGATCCAGTTAAAAGGGTCTAGGACGTTTGTGTTGATTCGTACCACCCCACCCTGGGGTTCAAACCACCTTTCAAACCAGTGGATATATAGCCACATTTGACTCCCATTCAGGATTGTCATCATCTAAATTGGGCCCCAAGGCCATTCTTTCAATTGGGGCAAGGAACCCCGGGGCCCATTCTAACATGACGAGTGTTGAAGTACCCCACGACGCCATTCTAATTCTCACTTGCCCAAATCCAACCTTTTAACCTTCTGCTTTCCCCATTTACTCCTTTTTTAATCTCCAGGTCCCAAAAGCTGCTCACCTAAAGTCCATTTTTTGTACAGGCCCCAAAAGCTGATCATCTGTTTGTTTGTTTTTTTTGCGTTCCCGAATTGGGCGTCTTGTTTTTTTTTGTCCGCGGGCCGCGCGTTTTTTTCGGGGTTTCCGTTTCGGGAGGCATGGTGGGGGATGCCATGGCCCGGAAGTGCCCGGACCACGGGCGACCCTTCACCGCAAACATCTCCGCGCCTCGGAAAGCTCCGGGAGAAGAAAAAAAAACACGGCGGCCAGTAGGGATTAAAAATAATAAGGAAATCAACCACCACTTGACTGTTCTTGGCAGGTTTTTGTTTGGCTTTCGGGTCTGTTCGTTTTTACTCGGGGGGTGCAAAAAACAAAGTGTTTTGCTACCGCACCAAGGCTTGTGAAGACCAGACTGCGCAGATTTTAGTCCAGGCTGAGTTGGCCACACCGCCATGCGAACAGAGTGACTTTTGAGGACACCCCAAAAAAGCCGCCCAGTCATGCTCGAAGGGGTTCCCCATTTAAGTTTATTGCCAATTGAATTTAGAGGACACCTCTGTAGCAGGTTGTTTTGGGATATATCCTTTGAAGAGCCATTTTGAGGGGTTCGCATTGTTTGTCTTGTCTGTTTCTTTTGGTTGTTTTTTTTCGTTTTGAGGGGGGGGGGGGGAAGCACTTTCGAGGATGCTACTTGCACCCAGTTGAACAAGCAACCTCCGGCGCTGCTCCATTTTTCTTTTTCTTGTAGCCCAGGCGCCCAGTGGTGCTCTCTTTCTCATTTGGAGTTGTGTTTTTATTTATTTTTGTTGGGGGGGCAAACCCTTTTTTGGTTGGTTTCAGAGTGAAGTTTGGGTCCCCTGAAACAGAAGCACCCATTTTGTTTGGAGCTGCGCTTCCGCTTCTTCCTTCTGGCGTAGCACTGAGCGGCTCGGCTCGCTCCAAGGGTTTTTTGAACTTGCCCCAGACACCCAGTGGTGCATGTCGTTTTGGGAGGGGTGGGACCCCTTTTGAAATTCAAGTAGCAAAACAAGGCGATGGGTTGTCATTGAGGGTCTGGGCATGGAGGGTTTGGGCACCACACAACCCTTGACTTGTTCCAAACCCCGGGGTTGGGGGGTGCTCAAGTACTTGTTGATTCACTGACCGTTCTCATCCAAAAATAGATGTGACCCAGGTTGCGTCCCTTTAGCTGGGCGGCCTTGGACCTCTGGTTTTGTTTTTTAGCTGAGGAATCGAGCAGCCACTTACCAACTTGGCGAATCGTGCACCCAAGTAGGCGGATGGAACATGATCCTGATTCCAGTCCTGATTCGAGTCGGGTCAATATACCAAACATGCAGGTTGGCAGGGATGGTTATCACCCCTGGAGGCCCTTTGAATGGGGTTTTGACCCATGTAAAGGCTGCTGTTGAGGGAGCCACGACCACGCACCTTGAGGCCCACAGCAGTTTTGCAGGTTGGCGGGTGTGACTTCTCGAAGGTTTGGTGGCAATATGGTGTCGGGTATTCTCACTTCACTTGGCTTGGGCACCAAGCTGGTTCTATTGCAAGCGGGCTCCAGCTTGCACCAAAGGACCATCCTGTCCAATGTGCGCATCCTAGAGACCATGAGACCCTTGTTTGGGGCCAAGCGAAATTTGAACACATCGAGGTCACCTGCGGGATCCTGCCGGTGTACCTGATCTTTATGACCAGGGGCAGCTATTGGGTCAACATGATGCTGCGCTTTGGAGAAGACACGATGGAACCGGGAATCCGGGGGGTCCCATGCCCACTAAAACCGCGCCCAAAACCCTTGGCCATTGCCTACGGAAACCAGAGCTCGCCTTATGAATGGCTTTCTTGCCTTCCCCGTTTCTCTTGGTACAAGAGGAGATGGTATGGAGGGCCCCCACTTGTTTTTCTCCACCTGGACCCTCAAACTACCCATAAAAATGGGATATCACCCCATAATTTTGGGGGTCAAACCATTTTTTATGGGAATTTTGAGGGTTCAGGCAGGTGTGTTGAGTTGGGAGGTGTGGCTCCTGAAGCTGCACGAATGGAATCGGGGTAGAAACCGCCGGTCCCTTCCACCCCACGAAAGAGCTCGCCGGAGCCTCGTGTGTTGATGAAAAGGCTGGCGGCTACAAAGGAAACGAAGCCGCCAACACATGGGGAAATTCAAGGTTCTCTAGACTCCTCATCATTGTCTGACGCAGCAACGATAGTGGATCAGTTCAACAATGTTGCCACAAGCTATTTATTTAGGCAACGACCTTTGAACATGGTTTCCAAACAGCAGGTCGCGAGCCAAGCTGATTTGCCTCGGCTGCCGCGAGGATTGCGTGCAAACAGTGCTGTGACTCCACACATGTTGCCTCGATGATCAAAAGCTTCTGCACGCTGCTCTCGTGCCATGCGCACGCCGAATTTGGCGCACGCGCAAACCACTCGAAAGCTTTGCATAATCAAATCCGTTTGCTTCCATTTCATTGTTACGCGCAAAAGGAGGCGCAAGGTCGCACAGGTGTGGCGATAGGGCCCACCCCAGAAAGCAAGATATTTGACAAAACCCAAACTATTATTCTTTGGTGCCGGTGCCTGTTCTTCCGCGTCTTTGGCACAATCCCCATCCCCGCCAGCCCCCCCCCACCAATGTTGGTTAAGTCACCCGCTGCACTTACCCTCTTTTTGAGGGTGCCCTTTTTTTGCAAGAGATTGAATCCAAAGGAACACTCATATGTCTGTGGCTCACAACTAAAGAGCTGGGGTTACGCGTTTTTTGTTTCTTTGGTTCCATTTGCCAAGTGCCATGTTGGTACCGGTTTTTTTGAGCCACACCCATATTTTGGGGTGGCTCCCCTATTTAATGTCCCACCGACACAGTACGGAAAATCTTGCGGCGTGCACTTTGCGCCCGGCTTTCCGTGGCGTGCGTAGCAAGGACTCGAAGCCCGGCATGGTGTTGCCTGAGCCCCCCAGTGCCAACTTGTACCGATTCTCTTTTTTGGGGGCGGGGTTCCAGTGCTGAAATAGACCACAGAAAGAAAAAGAAGGGTTCCCTTCTTCCAACCTCTGCACTGGAGGACCCAGTTTTGGGACTGTGGATGGTTGCGAAATCCAGTTCGCGCCACCGTTCCGAATCCTTGGAATGAATTCAATTCCCCAGCGCAAATAGCAACTTAAAGGTTATAGTTTCATTTCGTGGTGCAAAATCCGATTTGGGTGTGGCTGAAAATATTAAAGTCGCAGGGATACGCCGGTTTTGGTGCTAGCTTCCTTTTAGCAAGGTGCCGTTGTTGTACGTTTTTGTTTCGAGCCACGGCCATTTCGCCACCATCCACAGTACCTCGCCGATTTTTTCCGGGTCACCGGCATTAGGTTGATCTTCATGGGCCTTTCGGCCACCTGGTGCGGCGTGGGGGTGAACTGGCCCATCCTCTCGGAGATTGCGCCTTGGGAGAAATGATGATGTTTCCCCTGTAAATACCCGCCAACGGTATGGTGTCCACCATGGTTTCAAAGTTTTGAGCCACGGCCATTTGGCTGTGGCGCAAGATGTAAGAGCTAGGGCCAACCGCAGGGGTTGGTCTTTGTGTCCCATTTAACTGGCTGTGTTGGGTACATCTTTTTGAGCCACAGCCAAATGGCTGTGGCTCAAAAAAGCACTTCTTGAAACCATGGTGGAAACCATACCGTTGGCGGGTATTTACAGGGGAAACATCATTCCAGGGAGTCTTAGGTGGTGCAGGATTTCGTCCACCCACAGTAGGTACCCAAAATGGGTTGCCCTGGTAAGTGGAAACATGGACCAACACCTGCGTAACCCTTCCTGTTTAATTTTGAGCCACACCCAAATTGGGGGGACGACCAAGCCTAGCTATAGTAAGTAACCAGGTCTCAGGTAGTTTTCACTTACTAGGTGTTACATGATCCCAGTTGCCCAGCGCGTTGCTTCCTTTTGTTCCCACTTTTTGGGGGAACCCCTGGTTGCCTACCAAAATGTAAACTGGAAGGGGTGTGTTTCTCGAGCCATGAAAACTGCCAAGGTTCTCCCCAACAAACCATGGGAACACCCATGTTCCTTCCCAAGTTACCCACAGACTACCAGTAATTTTGACTGAGCCTACGCGCCATGCGTTGTCAATACGAATACTCGCATGTTCGGCCAAGTTTTTTTAAGTGGGCAGACATTTGTGTCATATATCACCCAGCAATCACAAGAGAACAATCCACTGAACGGGGGACTTACAAGTGGGTGACCCAACTTCCTAGCTTGGCGAATCGATCCTCCAAGTACCCCCTACCCATGATGAGTTGAATTCGCCCCTTAAATAGACCACTTGGCAATACAAGCAGCTTCGAGAATGTGAATTCAAAATCTGTGACTTCACAAACATAATACTTTTGCTGGTTGCATCCCCACCCCCTTCAACAGGGCTCCTTAAAAGATACATGTTGCCCAATTGAAACATGGCTTTTTCCACCAAAATAAAGGGAAACCACCATTTACAAGTTGCAATGTTCAGGTGTATAACGTAAGGATCCCTGTTCAACATGGAATTGGGGCAGGTGACCTTGGAGATCTCCATTTAACCCATCTTCATGGGAGGACTCGAAAGACAGATCGGGTTGCGGACACCAATTCCACCCCCCCCCCCCAGTATGGTCGGGAGGATGTGGTTGCCTAAGTCCCCCAGTAGTGCCCTTTCTCACCCCTTTGTTGGGGGAGGGTTCCCCTACTAAAATAGACTACAGAAGAAAGTTGGTACCCTCCCACCAGCCAACATGGAAGTGCACAGACCCCTGCAGAAAGACTACTTTCCTCGTGGAAAGGGCCATTTTGCACTTCCATGTTAGTTGGTGGGAGGGTACCCTTCTTCTAACCTCTCTACTGGAGGACCCAGTTGCCCTTTGGTCCTTTGCGCCGACACTTATCGTCTCCATCCGGTGTCGAGCAAACACGATTTCCTGAGTGCCGCGTGGGACACCTAGAGTCACTTCTTGGGGGTTTGGTTGCCAAATGTTAGCGGGCAATCCGAAACAGAGGTGCATTTTGCTTGGATGTTAGGACTTTAACTTTTTGCCAACTCATGGGTTTTCCATTAAACCACTAAAAGTTAAACTTTTAGGGGAGCAGAAAGCAGTTAAACTTTTAGGGGAGCAGAAAGCAACCGAGTGAAAGTGCGGACTGCTTCTGGGCAATGCACTCAGTGAGTTTAGTCGCTTTCGTCTTTGCTAGTTTATTTTGAGAAATTCACCCCCAGGTCTCAAGTAACTCAAATCCGGGAGTTCCTGGACTTGAGTCACGTTTTGGGCTTGGACTGTTTTAGTGGCCAACAGAAAAAGTTTAGATCAATGTGTATATACAAATATACATATGTATATATAAATAATAATAATAATAATAATAATAATAATAATAATAATAATAATAATAATAATAATAATAATAATAATCATAATAATAATATTAATACTAATAATACTAATAATGATGATACTAAATAATAATAATAATATTAATAGTAATAATAATCGTAATAATAATAACAAGAATATTAGTAATAACAACAATCATAATCATAATAATAATATAAGAAACATACTAATAATGATGCTACTAATAAAAATAGTACTATTAATAGTAATAATAATAGTAATAATAACAATAATATTAATAATAGTAATAATAATAATAATAATAATAATAATAATAATATTAATAATAATATTAATAGTAATAATAATACTAATAATAATAACAATAATAATAACACTAATAATAATAATACCAATATTAATATTACTATTAATAATAATAATAATAGTAAAACTAATAATAATACTAATAATACTAATAATAATAATAATTATACATATATATACATATATATATATATATATATATTTGGACCAGTCACTCGACCGGAAGTGAGTCAATCGCAGGTGGACCCCCGCTCCCGCAGTGGCATCATGGCCTGGGAGAGCGCGCTGGAGGGTGCGGTGGCGGCGGTTTTGGGCAACGCCGCCGTGGGCTTTCTCGCCCAGCGCCCCGAAGAAGTGGGGTCGGGGCCCAGGGCGGGGAAGGGGGGGGGCGGGAGGGGCCGAGGGGGGGGAGGTGGAGGCGACGGAACTTTGGCGTTTCGCTATGAAAGTATGTTAATGGGAACCCCGAAAGGTGGACATCAGTTAGGTAGTTCATGTCCAACCATGAGCTAGGTGGTTCCCTATCAAAGCTTTCTTGCAAAGAGAACCATGGTTTTGAGCTGTTTTTGGGGCCATCTGTGATACCAAGGATTCATAAAGTGGACATGGGCATGACCCATATCGATGTGACAGAAAGGGTGATTTTCCCCAACCATGCCCCCCTTGCCAAGCAAGTCAGGGTGAAAGGGGGGGGTTGTCTGACATCGCTGTGTCAAAATTGGGCCTCCAAAATCCGGTTACCATATATGTTTCCCTCTGGTTTCCAATTCAACCAAAGAATGGTGGAAGCGCCTGTGAAAAAACTTGTTTGTGTGTTTGTGTGTTTGTGTGTTTGTGTGTTTGTGTGTTTGTGTGTGTCTGTGTTTGTTTGTTTGTTTGTTTGTTTGTTTGTTTGTTTGTTTGTTTGCTTTCCCTCATTGTCTCTTTGTGGGGGAGGGTTGTTCTGGTCCAGGCGGGTGCGATTCAACCTGGTTAAGCCTTGGTTTGGAAATACGGCCACCCCCAAATCCCCGTGGTTTTTTGCTCTAACCTGACCCTGAAGCTTAGCCAAGCTCAGTCCTTGAGTTCTTGGGGGTGGGGAAGACGAATTTAGCAGTAAAACAAACTTTGGGACTTTTTGGCCACTCCCCCGAATCTCTTTCCACTTGACCATCAGAGAAAACGCTGGTCTTGTTTTCTTTGGGTCATTGGAAGGCCCTGCAGGTCTTTGGCAGAGCTCTGGGTCCGTAATTGGACACCAAAAGCATGACCCCACCAAAACGAAACCTACATGAACGAAAGGCCTTTAAGAAGTTGAAACAACATGAAACATGTCTCGGATTCCAAAAGGAGATGCCCCTGGACCAACTTAAGGGTTTTTATTCGCCAGGCAACCCTCCCTGATGAAAAGGTTTTGTCCCTGGAATGGGCCGGAAGAGATACCACATGAGGATCCCAAGCCAAAATCCGGTGGTGGTGGGTGTGTCAAACCCGTAGCCCAATAAAAGCTTCGCCGGGCCGCAGGAGGCGAGCCATGCGAGCCATGCGAGCCCAAGCTAAGTACCATCGACAGTTTAGAGGCAATATTCAACGGTTGCATTGCCCTCCCGGAACATGCCCCAGGATAAGCCAACAAAGAGCACAAGGGGACAATATTGCCCGGTGGACAAAATTCGATTGACACGGGGTTACGGCTTGGTAGACGGTTTATCACAGTATTTATATGGTGTTATCCATCCCAACTGGTGCAGGATTTTGCCCATCCAGAGTAAATAAGCCTGAACTGTATATTTGTTCTTTGGTGTTTGGTTGGGAACCCGGTCAGCGGGGGAAGTTGTTGATGGTCCAACTGAACTGCCAGGAACGTCATCAAGGGTTTTCAATGGGTCTGTCTTTGTTTGGAGTTGGTACCCCTTTTTGTTGGTCGGTGTCGAAGAAAACCATCAGGAAAACCACCATTTTGGGAGGGTCCGGTATACCATAGAACAACACATGTTGCTTGTTATTCCTTTCCACCAACAGGGAGAACAGGGAATTTCCTGGGACTAACAACATGCTCAGCATTTCCTGAACAGGAGCATTCGGTGATATAGTGGAAGAAGAGACATGCCCTGTCATATGGGAATTGTGCCATCTATTGTACTTCTACGCTGTAGCTTTTTGTTTTCGAGGTTGCCCTGTTCAGGTCGGCCGACCACCGAAATCCATTTTGGGGGCTCCCCTAATTTGATTCTTGACACATGCCCTTTTCACCCTGAATATCCAAATATGTTTAGTCATTTCCCGTTGCAGTTCTTCGTTGACACCCTCCACCCTTAGTTAACATGGAACTCGACGTTCGGCATTCCCTTAAAAAGAAAAAGGATGGTCCAAACCAGGACTACCGGCTCCACGTGAAAAGGGTGGGGATCCCCAGCTGGTGGCACCCTCTAAATCCCGAGAATGTGGTGGCCCCCAAAAGGATTCCACGTGTTTTTCCGGGGTCGCTGAGTAGCCGCATACGGCGCCACTGAACCCCGCAATCTCCCAATACCCAGGTTTTTCTTAGAGAATGATAGGGTATGATGTCAACCCCTGACTAAAAATGGCATGGAAAACCTGGTTCTTCAACAAGCACCAAGTGAACAACGTGCTTGTACAAATATCAGGTGAACAACGTAATTTTGTTGTTGCTTTTTGTAGGGGGGCAGCAACAAAAAAATCAGCTCAGGAACCTCTTCGGATACAATCTCGCAGAGGCAGAAGCCGCCAAGACGGAAGGCGGCAACGAGAACAACGCGGCGGCGCTGGGCAAAGCGCTTGCGCTCACCTCCGTGCTGCCCTGGCTTCTGTGCCTGCTATGCGGCCTCGGCCGAATTGGAATCGAATGGCTCACCTCCTGAAACGGGTGGTTGTCGTTTTGGTAGACGCTCCCATGTCTCACTCCCTAATTTCCGTTTCGGACTTAGTCACTTTTTGGGTCTGGTGGAAAATGGGGGTTGTCCTTTTGGTTTCCCCGTTGAACCCTACTCCAAGAGGGGATACACAAAAACGTAGACGCTCCATATCTCGCTTCCTGAAATGGGTGGTTGGGCCTGAACGAGTCTTGTTCCCGGCTTTCATCACAGAGGGTGAGAAGTTGCGACCGGGAATGGTAGAAAATGGTGGTTGTCCTTTTGGGTTCCCCGTTAAACCCTACCCCAAGAGGGTACGTGAAAAAAGTAGACGCTCCATATCTCGCTTCCTGAAATGGGTGGTTGGGCCTCTGAACACGTCTTGTTCCCGGCTTTCATCACAGAGGGTGAGAGTTGCGACCCGGAAATGATAGAAAATGGTGGTTGTCCTTTTGGGTTCCCCGTTAAACCCTAATCCAAGAGGGAGAGTTGCGACCGGGAAATGGTGGAAAATGGTGGTTGTCCTCTGGTTTTTTGCCGTTCAATTCTACCCCAAAGAGGGTACGTCAAGAAGCAGACGCTCCCATATCTCACTCCCTGAGTTGCCTTGTTGGACTTAGTCACTTGTTGAGTTTGGCTACCATTGGAGTGGTAAACAAAACAAAGCGGTCATTTTTTTGCGGGGCCATGCACTTGGGAAGCGAGTCCACAAACTGAACAAATTGTTGGGTAGATTTGGGGAGTGTTTTTGCGGGTGCCAGTTGCCACTGTTAGGATTGAAGGGAGAGCAAAATGATTAAACAAATACTTCCATGTTATTGTTTTTTTTGTTTGTTTTTTTCTATGAGCCATAATCGAACATGGGTCGCTGTATGAGTACACTGCAACAAATGTTCGCACCATTTATCCTTCCAGTGAACCTCCGCAGTGATTTGTCTTGCTGGTGCTCAGGGAGTGAGTTGGAATGACCCCATATCAACCAGCCAACTGGTGGTTTCGCAGAAGGGGACCCCTGGGTTGATTCCCTCATTCCCTACCTATCACACCAGCAAGTTGTTGCACTTGCAAGCATTGTTTTGCTTGCTATGGTGCAAAACAGGGTTAAGATTGGCCTTGCCGCACCTTCCACACGGTCTCGGGAGGTTTACAGTTTTAACTTCAGCCTTTACCACACAGTCTTATTTTGTTTTTCGATCACGCAGTCCATACCATGAGAATACCAGAAGTAGTTCCGGCTGCCCTAAGGACATACATATATATATATATATATACACATGGTTTTTATATATATATATATATATATACATATATATATATATACATATATATATATACCCAGCGCTTCCTGGTTACCACTATAGCTGGTAACTGGGCCCCGGTTACCAGATTTTTGGGAACCAAGCCCGGTTCCGAAAAAAAAGGGAACCAGAAACATGTCCGCCCGCCCTCGTTGCACCATTTTGACCCATCTTGGCTACATCCTCAGGGCGTAGCACCACGAGCTTCAGCAAAGAGCGCCGCAACACACGTTCATGCATGTTGGCGCCTGCATTTTGAGCACAGCTCACCTTAAGGACCCCCATGAAGTCCTCTCCACCGTAATTGTGGTAAAATCTGCAATTGTAAAGCTCTTTGAGCTGGTCACACAACATGTGATGGAACAAATGGCATTTTGGCAGGATCAGCCAACGCGTCATGTTTTGATTAGATGCCTCAGTTGCGGCAGCTAGCATGAACTGAAGCGCTGCCATGCCAACATCATACATTTGATGCGCTTGTTCATGTGATAGGTACCGTGGGGAACATTCGCATAGATTCTGCCACTCAGCAAGGGACCACCTCAGATCTTCAGCGCTGCAACGATTTTACGCTTTGCATTGAAGCATGCTCCTAATCTTGGATTCTGGGAACTGGCTGATCAAACAACACCGCGTTGGGGATGGCTTTGAAACGAGTTTGCCACCCCCCAAAACTTAAACTTGTGGTAGGTCCCAGCCAAACAGATCAAAAAGGGTAGGGCTTGAATAGGGTCAAGGCACACAGCTCCCATTGTCAGAGACGCCATTTGCTTGCGGCGGCCCGCAAGAGCAGCATCCTCGCCGGGCCGGGAGCCCAAGATCCAGGATTCCTCCTTGAACAGCTCGTCCTTAAAGGATGGGAGAGATCCCTGTTTCACAACTGGCTTTAAAGCTATCATAAAAGGGTATTGGGTATTGATGTTGCCAATATGCATTCGTGGCACGGACAGCCACGCCAGCACCACCCGAGCGTTGAAAGCTTTTACCAGCATCCAAGGGAAAACTGTGTTGTCGCACTCTTTGATGTGCAATGTGGCACGCTTCCATTGTCGCATGCTGCAAGTGATCCTGTTTGCACGGGTCCACATTTTGAAGCGCACAAACATTTCCTTGAGCCCTTGGTCCAACGCATCCTCAGCGTTCCTTTCAGCATCAAGAGATTTGGTGATCCAGCACTCCGTTAGCACCAAGAGGCCCTCTGCCAAGGCCACCGGATAGATCCCTAGATTCAAAGTGTGCATCGCGCACCACCGCCTGTTCAGGGAAAATGCGTCTTCAAGCATTGAGATCGGCCAGCTAAGAAACACTATAAGTCCCGGATCACTGTAAATTTTGAGGGGTGCGTGTAGCACTTGAATGATCCAAAACAAGGCATCCAACAAGCTTCTTAGGAATCCTGTTTGATCAATCGGCCAGGGCCCTCATACCATTCCAGAAACGACGAGGGGCATGTGGTCCACACTGAAACCGCGAAGTTGCACCAAAGGGGAATAGTCCAAGGGCAAGCACTGCGCCAGGAATTCGACTGTTGTTCTCAGAGTCCAGGATCGCCCGAATTCTGTGAACAGCGGCCCAAACCTTGTCAACATTCGTTGAGGGTGAAATGGGTGAGTGGTCCATTGAAACGCGTGGAACCCGATGGCAAAATAAGGGAATGCTTTGAATATGTTACCAGCAAGCAAAGGGGCTTCGGAATCCGAGCTGCTTCACACCTAAAGCATATGCGGCCTGCCTTCCACCAGTGGTGTGTGAGCTGAAATAGCTCAACTATCCATTTCCAGTCTCCACGAACCTCTGTTACTGCGAAAGAAGCTGAAAGACTTGGGGATTGCTGTGCCCTGGCAGTTGCAAGCCTGCCTACACCATACTGAGATCTCATCCCAACAGGCGGTCGTCTAGCTTCCAGCGCCAAGTTCAGTGACCAAACTGCTCGTTCCAAGATTGGGCGCAAGGTATCCTTACTTGGTTGCCAAGCTGATGAAAAATGAGTTTCCAAGTACACGCAAGGACTCAAACTCGGTTTCCCCGGTTGGTTGAGCACGTAAGCCGGTGTCGATAATCACTACAATCAGCGCATGCGAAGAGCGGACGATGCGGTGTTGACGACGGTCTGCTGACAAAATCGCGCAGACCGCTAACTGTCTAGAGGCTTCGCAGAACACGTGCGACGTGTGCGGGGCCGCTGTGCGGAGGGCCTGTATGATTTCAGCTACTACATGAGGGAGGACAACTTCATTCCCAGTACTCACGAGCGTGCGGCCTTGGGCCCCCTCCAATCGATGACTGTTGGCGATCCTCTTTGCCAAGCTCGAATCCGCTGCAAGGGTTTCCAAAAAATAATTTCATTTGGACCCCCAGGTGCAAGAATATTGTTTCAACGTTAACTGTATGATGATGGTTCTTCATGATGAGCGATTGCATTTGCAGTGTCCAACCACATGTATAGGCTTCCTTGAAACGAACATTTGGAGGTGCACTTTGGGAATTGATGAGGGAATTGAATAATATGGCCATGCAGGCAAGCGTCCACCCCTCCAGTTCCACAAGCTATGTTTGAGGACACGATGAAAAAGAGCAGGTTTTTTGTCCAGGCTGACCCGTTCTTCTTCGGTAACAGCACAAACTGTAGGCACAGCGCAATGAACTTATCCCCGTAAGTCTGGGAATATCTGGCCTCGTCTCCATAGACTGCGATCGGCACAGCAGTATCTGGTGCCGGGTGATCGGCTGCCCAGGTTCCAACCGCGCGCCAGTGCCGCCAGTACTGCCTGGTCAGCGCCCAAGAGGTGTGGACAGGGCCGGCGAAGGGGTGAAGCAAAAGTAACTAGTTCATGTTATCTGAAGAGCGAGCTTTCACGCACTGTTAGCATTCCAATATCGTTGAGGGTTCAGTAAAAGGGTATACCTGATCAGCCCTCCACGCATATAGCTGCATTTGAGCAGATTGCGCAAATGATTGCAGCGTCCAAACTTGAGGATTATATTTTCGTTGGGGGTTCAGTTTTGCCTGATCAGCCCTCCAAAAAAAGATGATCCCCGACCACATAAAAACCTAGAGCAGAATTTGCTCATCTTGGAACTGCATTTGGGCAGATTGTGTAAATGAGGAACACCTCATGATTGTAACAAAAGAATCCCCCCCGTCCAAATTTGAGGATTCTTGAAAAAGGCAACCCTTTCAATGTAGTCAAGATCGCTAGGGGTGTGGGAATCAGGCCCGGCGCATGCTGGAAGAAAGAACTGGGGGTACCCCTCTCAGATCGTCATGCAAAGACCCGGCCAGCGAAAAAAACAAAAAATGCAAAGCTTGCAAAACAAGGCTCTTAAGCTCATCATCAGATATTGCAAATCGGCCGGTGCGCCACCCGTAATCCAACAGCTCGTGCGGGTCAAACATGGGCAGCTTCTTGGTCTCCCTTTCGCCTAAAGCATTGCAAACGTCACATGTAACGTAGCTGACGTCCAGCGGCAGCTTGACGAATCTGAAGATATCCCTAGAGCTGTTCGACTGTGAAATTGCACCAACGCGTCGAGTGACAGGATGAACATGTTCGCTCCCAGCTTCCTTGATCAAGTTGGGACTAGTAGGGGGTTTGATAGGTTCCCCCATGCCTGGATACAACTCGACCAAAACCAGGATAATTCCATGTTTGATTATAAGGGTGAGCGTGTTAAATTCCAACCGTTCTTTTTGGACGAACGTGACGCCCTGCCTGCACCACAGCATGGGCCTTCCGCACTGCTTCTCGAGCACTGCCTCCTCCCTCACCCAAACTGGACAGCCTGATCCATTGCCACGCTGAACAAATTAGTGCCGGCAAAAGGCTCCATTACAATGATTGTTTTTTGAAAGAAAGGTTTCAAATAAGCGCCGTCACAAGAAGAATTGAAAAGTAATCTAATTGTTGGAGTAGGAACAAGTGCGTAGCGAACGCTGCTTCTTCTGCAGTCACTTTCTCATTGTCCAGCACAGCACCTGCGTTGGGAAGGGGTTGGAAGTGGCTTTGTGTTTCAACATGTCGCGGCGCCAAGGCTGGACGCTTTTTTCTACGTCGCCATCATTGTCGGGGGCCCCGCGCACCACGCAGCATGGTTCAATGCGGACCCATGGGGTAATTTGAAAAAGATCATGACCACACCCTTCCAGTTCACACATCATCCGCTATGGGTTTGAAGGTCCCTGGATAATCCAACTGCAGGGTGCTTAGCTGGGCGCCTGAGTTCACAGGCTGATAAGCAGGCTGTTCGGCTCATGGTGGGACCTTGAATCCCCGGCACAGTGGGTCCAACCAAGCCAGTTGTGGTATGTGCATTCAATGACCAAACTTGTGTTTAAACCTATGATCATATGTTTTTTTTAGTTTGGAGGGTAAAAACATATTAGCTGGTTTGGTTGGCCATGCTGTGCATTCTCAAGGCACCATCTAGCATGCGCCAGTCTTCCCGCCACACATCTAATTGGGCGCCATTGACCGGACAAAAAGGGAACTTTTTTCAGCTCCATTGATCACTTGTTGCAACATTTGGTCTTGGCACCATCCAACATCAAAATGGGTTTCCGGAGGCAACCGCAAGCATGTACTGTCTTTACCTCACCGCCGTCGTGATAACCAGCAAGGCTTCCCAAAAGAAAATGACTGAAAGGCCCTATATCCCCAAGTTGCTTTGTTTGCGGATGCCCCGTTTGGGTTGTATTGGGTAACTGATCAAACAGGTTTGCAACAATGGGCCTCCAAATTCAAAACAGGGCATGGTGTTCATTCTGATGCAACTGCATGGCTTCCCTGCAAACCCCAAAAGTTGCGCCGACAGAAAAACCTTGATAGAGCCGAGATGAAAACCCTGCTACCTTGATCACACAAATCCTGAGCTGAAGAATCACCCTCTCATGATCGTGTTGGAGCCAACCAAACGAAACAATGTTGCGAAGTCCTCTTTTTGAAACCTAGCGAACCCAGCAAGGTTGCATCCGGCCCTTTACTTCTGCAGTGAGCGTTTTTGCCCACGAGATTTGGCACTCGCTTTGGCGATGGCCTTTGGCTTGGTGTGCTGTTTCACGGTGTCAGCAACTCGTTTCATCTCAGCACAGCGAGACTCAAGATCCTCAGAGCATCGGTTGCTCTTCAAATACTCGCGTGGATGACAACTTGCAACTGATCATGCCATGAACGATCATGCTTCTACAAAGGTGTTGAAGCCAATACGGAAAGCCAAGACTCTACCAAACGCGCCTCAAGGTTCTTGTCAGTGGCCATCGCTGCCACCAGAGCATCTTTGGCAGAGGACGTCGCTTTGACGGACTGCTGGAGGTCCTTCTGAAGCGCGCCACGGAAGTGGTCACTCCTCAGCAGTCTCAGTACCCGCTATAGCTTTACGAACTCGCAGCGCTAGTGATGCTGGTGGATGAAACGGAGCAAAGTGTCACTTCCGTGTTGGTCGCAGACGCAAGGTCCGTGGCCAGTTTGGCAGACTCTGTGAGGAGCTTGTGCGCAGTGTTGTTTGCCTGTGCGCATTTTCGCACAGATCACCTATGTGATTCAACTTTCTAAGTGTGTAATCAAATGCGGGGCCTGGGCAGCTCGTTGCTGCAAAGTCTTTTCCTTCGGAGTCTTCTTGACGTTCTTCACCCCGGGCCCGCTCGGGAGGCATGTGTCCCCCTGATCAATCTCGTCCAGCGCGTTGCCCCTCAATGGTCAGTGCAATGGTAAGAGAATGCCCCCCCAAAACAAGCTTTAAACAGATGAATGATTTTCCCAGCCCAGCGCCCCAACAACATCTGATGAGGTACGATTTGTTTGGAAGGGACCTAGCGCATGAGGAGGCATGCCACCTTGCAGGAAAAAGGACTCTTTGATGATGTATGCACTCCTTTCCGCACCCCCAAGATGCTTACAGGGTTAGGAAGGTGAAGCCCTTTTTGGACCCTGATTAGGGTAGGATTCAAGTAAAAAAACAGTTGGACCACCCCTTTTTTGGACCCATTATGCGGTTGTTTCCGGATGTTTTTTGGGACAACTGACCCTCGAGCCAAAAAAAGCCACTCGAACGGCTGACCCTCGTGAAACACTTGGGGCGGGGTTGTTTGCTCAAATGTTGAAACATTGCTACTAGCAACCCTTCGAATGGTTTTGCGTGTCAACCGAATCGAACGGTGATTGGGTTAATATCGGTTTTCTGTCTGGGGTGCAGGGCATCTCCCGTGGGTCTCAAACCACATGAGCTGTTTTTGAGCATGCTTAATTCTTAAGGTGATCCGGTATATAGGTCCAAAATGGCCCAAACCTTCCAAACCAAAAAAGTCTGATCAAAGGCTCCTTTGAAAGGCTCATGGATTCAGTGTAGAAATTTGGGCACGTTGCATGGACCGTTGGGCCTCTCACAAAGTGGGAGGGTCAAAAGCAAAATGGGTCATGTTTTGGCATATGGATATGTTTGAACGCTATCTCCGGGTTGCCTGGGCTGAGGAAACTATCCGCGGCTACCTGATTTCCATCGGATGAGCCGCTGCCCTGGCACCGTGTTTTGATTTGGAACCCCTTCAATGGCCACGTAGCCTGATTGCGCTCTGAACCCCTTTGAGCCCGGTTAGGGTAGGAGGTTTGCACAAGCGACTAATTTCACAGAGCCACATGGCCGTGTGGAAGGATTCCTCTTCCACCTCCGCTTGCATTGACAGTTCGGCGCTGTGCGTAATCTGCTTGGTTGTCTTGTCAATGTAGGCAGCGAAGTTCTTGTACTTCCACAGGTCCTTCCTGCTAGGGAAATCCTTGTGCCTCACATGGTCAGGCAATAGTGATGAGTTTCAAGCGCAGCGTGTGTGTGTGTGTGCGTGCGATCTCACACCCAACGAACTTTGGAAAGACCTGCGCTGAATGCGTGCCAGGCACACGCGGATGAACTTTCCTTTTTCGGCAGCCGATAGCTTGCTCTCAGCGTCAGCATGACGCTTCATTAGGTCCACGGCCAATTCCTCTCCCAACTCGGCCTTCATCTTTTTCTCGTCCCACCACTCGTAAATCTCATCAGAGGAGTGGGCGGTCTGTTTGCGGATGGAGACCACCAAGCTGCAGCGATCCCATTCGCCACGGCAGCTCACGTAGTGCATGTAAAGCTGGTGCATCTTGTTTCTGGACTTCTCTGCAGCAACGAGTTGCTCCTGAACTTCTGGCGGAGCCCGGCTGCCTCAGAGAAGTGTGGCCCGTTAATGGTGAACGTTCTTATTCAAGTGTGCACACAAGCGGTCTGGCAACATGGTGTAGCATCAAGCAGGCAGCTGCACTAACGCTCAACACAGGCAAGGAACTTCGGACACTGCGGTAAAAGCGCATGTAGAGCGCTGGAGGGTTCAAGAACTCGCCCTGCTTGTTCTTCCGCCACGCGTCCGCGTCATTGGCCCTATTGGCCAGAGCCCGGGGCTGAGCGCAAGGAGAAGAACCTTCAGGATCGCCCGTCCTCTCAGCGTTGCCCGTCTGCTCAGCGTTGCCCGTCTCAGCGTCGCCCGTCTTCTCAGCGTTGACCGTCTGCTCAGCGTTGCCCGTCTGCTCAGCAGCAGGCGTGCCTTCCTGCTCATCAGCAGCAGCGTCATTGGTTTCTTGCGCATCAGCAGGACGGTGTTCCTGCTCCGTAGCCATGCAGCTGTCGTCCTGCACGTTCGTAGGCATGCGCTCCAGCAGGTCCTGCTCAACTTCGTCGGCGTGGGACTGATCGTAGTCGCCTGCTTCGCTTCCTTGAAAGGACCAGCTTCGTGATTGGCGACGCGCGTAGTAGCTTTCATCCCAGCTGCTGGACCAGCGCGGTCCCCATCCATATCCGTAGTCGCACCAGCCATCATCCCTGCTGTCCGACCACATATGGTCGGGGCCCCACCACCAGCGCTGGGAGTAGCCACCCATCTTGCTGCGTGGAAGGCCTGCGTCCCAGCTGTCATCGCTGGTGAAGCTCAGCGTGCGCTTGCAGAGCTGCGCGGACGTGGCAGATCCAGATCCGTCCTCCGACGGTGTGGTTGGTGGCGGTGTGGGGCGTGGCTTCTTCTTGTCTGGGCTGGCAGTTGGCTCTTCGGGATCTCGTGGGCACACACGAGATTTGAGCGGCCTTGCAACGCTGGTTGGTGGGTTTGGGCAACTGGGCTCCTGTGAGCCTTCCTGCTTGTTGAGCTGCGAGGTCACGAGCGCTGCCTTGGGCGGAGTCGGCTTGGGTGGGCTGGCAGCTTTGGGCAGGCTGTCAGCTTTGGGCGGCGGGCTGGCATGCTTAGGCGGGCTGTCAGCTTTGGGCGGCGGGCCGGCAGGCTTGGGAGGGCTGTCGGCTTTGGGCGGGCTGGCACGCTTAGGCCGGCTGTCGGCTTTGGGCGGCGGGCTGGCGTGCTCAGGCGGGCTGTCGGCTTTGGGCGGCGGGCTGGCATGCTTGGGCGGGCCGGCAGCTTTGGGCGGCGGGCTGGCGTGCTTGGGCGGGCTGGCATGCTTGGGCGGACTGTCAGCTTTGGGCGGGCTGGCGGTGGCCAGCTTGGGCGGGCTGACAGCTTTGGGCGTGGCCAGCTTTGGGGTGGCCGTGGGCGGGCTGCTGTCCGCTGTGTTGCTGTCACTGGGAGGCACATCTTCACTGGGTGGGGGCAAACTGGACGAGCTAGCTTTTTAGGCATGCTGGCTGCTGTCTTGGCGTGGCCCTGCGCAGCTATGCTTGCCAGCTTTGCTTTTGCCAAGATATCCTGAACAGCATTAGGATCTGACTTGGCAGTGTGCATCACCACAGGTGTAGCCGCCTTCTGCGCACGCTTTCCCATGTAGCCTCCCAGGGTGGGAGGATAGGCTCAAACTGAATTGAATGGGTGGCGGATCGACTGGAACGATGATGGACTCAAGCCATTTGCATGAATGGGTGGCACAAGGATTGCATCAGTTCAGAAAGGCCCATGCCAAAATTCCAGTTGAGAGAGTTGTGATTTGATGATGAGGCAAGCAGTTTCGCGCTAGAGCTTCCCTAAATTGTTGCCAAATTGTTGGAGTCCAGACAGCCCAAAAACCAATTTCACGGTTCTCACGGTTCCGGCCCCCTATCTCACGGTTCCACCCCCCTATCTCACGGTTCCGACCCCCTATCTCACGGTTCAGCTTGTGTTGTACCTGGCCTTCAAGTCACCAAATGCGGCGCGCGAAACCTACTTGCAAGCAGCTCCAAATGAGCCTTGATGGCACGATGAACATTCACTATCAGCATATGTCCAATGTTCAGGATAAAGTCCCGCTTCCTGCAATGTGGTTCCACTTGGCTGGTCATGCAAGCATGTTCTAGACCGATCCCACACTTCAAATGCAAATATTTTCATGGAAGCACCGCCAGTTGAAACCCAGGAGTGCATGAGCACTGTGTGCAGCCAGAACTAATTATTCAGGGTGCTGTTGTAGCCAACAGACTCCCCTACAAAGCTGATCATTTTGATTGATCACGTATGCAGTGCATGTACACATGGTCGGCCAGAAACGTCTTGCACTCATCGGGACCAAGTGGTGTCACACTCACCGGCACGCCCTTCCGAGGCTTGAACTCCTTGCGCGATTTCAGGAAGGCCACGCACGGCCCCTGAGCTGGGGCAGGACCAGGGGTGATCAATAGAAACCACCCCTCAATGAGTAGATACAACAATCTTGAGTCATCCCGCTACTTGTGCACCTGTGTGGGCCAATGTTGAGACTAGGCACTAAGTCAGCATCGGCCCAAAAGTCGGCACCTGCCTGATTGAGCGAGGAGTGCGCTCGCTGAAGCCCATTTCAACAAAACCCTGCATGAGCTTGAAGGGTCGGGCTGTTTAGAAAAACTCATGGGACAAGATTTGGTCATTTAAGTGGTAACTGGGATGCCGGGAAACCTGCAAACCAGATTGAAACCCAATAAAGTAAACCAAGGATTTGGGAGTAAGATGGCAGAAGCTAAACTCCACTTCCATGGTTTCCCCAAACAAGACCCGCAACGTTTTCTTGGAAACACCCATCCAAATTCTTTCAACTTTGAGAGGTGGGACAACGGACAAGTGACGATAAGCTATTTAGTTTCCTCATCCTCAGGAAACAAACGAACCAGCTCAGCGTCTTTGATGCAAATGTAACTAGTCCTCATACCCATTACGAACTCCCCGAACGATTGTAAAAGGTGACCAATGTGCCTTGTTCATTCTTAAAGCTTGCTTTGCCGTTCATCCTTAATCCCAGAAAACCCCGCACACAAACCGGCGGCCTTTTGCAACGGGCCACGCTCCATGTGGAAATCTTCCGGCAAGGAAGGCATGTAGTTGAGCTCCTGAGCAGAGCCCCTTCATGTATTGCCCCCATCAAAGTTCAGTATATAGCACTTTTGCAACCCAGGATCCGTGCACCAGGTCTTGTGCAAACTTGCAATGCGGGAGCAAAAGGCAGAGGGGTAGCTTTGTGTTCCTTTGAGACGGGGTCCTCCGCTCCTTACATGGCCACATGTGCATGCGTGCGCAAGAACCCACATGATGTTGCAAGCTACATGGTCTACATTTGCCGAGATACACCCACAGCTTCTTTTGGGATTTCTTCTCAATTGTTTTCTTCACAATGCCAGCAGATGACCACTGGTACTTCTCACGGTCGGCCTTCGTGATGTGTGAAGCTGTTGCCAGCATGTGCACCCAGGGCCTCATGCAGCAATCTGCGGGAACCAGTGGAAACCATAGCGGTATGAATTCTCACGCACATGCAACATGTAGGGTGGTGTCATGTGCTGTCAAGGCACGCGTTCCCCGTCACCAAAGATCTCTTGACGCTTGCGCTTCCAAATAGCCCCATCCAACTTAGTGGCGGTACTGGTCGCGGTGGTACCAGTTCAATCACACAATCTACTACCCGGCCCCATAGTGGTTCAACATGCAGTCGTGGCACAAGCGAACGATTGTGGCTGGCACCAGCCCATCCATGCACCGGTTGATGTGACGTACCCATCGAAGATAAGGCAGAAGAGGTGCCACCGACGAGCTTGGCTGCTCCAGCGCCCACCATACTTGGCGGCATACACAAAGCAGCAAGAGAAGGCAATTTCTCGCGCAAAGCAAATTGCCCATGGCAACTGAGGGTTTCGACATATCCCCACGAGGGTCATCTTTGCTTTTGCACGTTGTGCCCCTTGATATCCATACGTGGGCACTGCAAGGTAACCCGCTCCAAAACAAAGATCCAACCTTGCACCTCAGAGTGTACTGGACGGCCACCATCAGGCCCAGCCTTGGCGGGTGTCGTGCGCTGCCAAATTTACATTATACTCTGATCAGCCTGTTTTGCTGGGTTTCCGGCACAGTGCTTAGATCATGCTGCTTCGAATCAATATCCAAGTCATATCTGGCAGACACCATGCCACGGGAGCCTCAAAAGAGCGGGCAATGATGGCAAGGGGATGATCGGATTCAATGCGTGATCCAGTAAGTCCCAAGCTGAAGGATCGCGAGATGCCGCCCCATCCACAAAAGAAGTCAAGATTATCTAGATCCTTGGAGACATGCGGCCAACTATTCAAACCGCCATTTGGAAGCAGTGGCAGAACCATGCGGCAACACCAGGCCAGGCAAGAAGCTCTCCGAAACTTGCTGTTGGAGGTCTGGCTCACATAGTCCACCAGATGGATCCTGGGATGCATTCAACCAAGCAAGGCGGGAACTCCACGTACGGTTGTGTGCGGTCACCTTGCAATGGCCAATTCGTGAATGGCCATTGGGTGCAATATGGCAACTCTCGCGCTGCAAGATTCACATGGTTAAGCACATTTGGTTAGCCACAGCAGTCTCTTCCCCGAAAAGGGCCACAATACTAGCAACAAATCGGTTGAGAACCACAAGCAAGTTCAATCAAATTCTGAAAGGGGCCGGGAAAATTAATTCATATATCGATCGATATGTGGGATCCCACTATGGCTGATGTAAGTAAGCAAGATTCCAAACCGGCGGCGCCCCCAGGTACAAAAGCAGTGCCACCTGCGCTGGCGTCAGCTTCAAGGCGTGGGCCGGCATGGCGACTCTGTGCGCTACCGCCCTCCCGACTCTTTGCTGGTTGTCCGCAAATATGTTCCCATTTGAATGCTTTGATGTGAAACCACAAAACTGCGCCCTCAATTTTTTTGACGCAAGAATCCGGACCCCCCGACCACAAAATTGCGCCCAAATGCTCTGCGGTGAATACGCCATCAGCATACCAGAATGTCATCGGTTCAAGCTTTGCGCAATGCAATCAAATGCAAGGACCCCCGCACACCCATGCTCGCAGGTCTATTTGAACCTCTTCTTCCACGCTCCCCAATCAAGGCGCGGCACAGGCTGACCTGATTACACCTTGAACCCCAAACTCCTACGCAGCACCATGTGCTAAGAAACCGCAGAGTCAGGAAACGGTGCACCAAAAAGCATATTACATTTAAAATAGTTTGGGGAACATAAATAGTGGGAAGGGCCGGGTTCTGAACCGTGATATGTTTTTGGTTGTACTGGTACTGGGTTGTTTTTTCAATGACCCCCTGACCAACTCCTGAACTGCGAAAACCCATCAAGCCAGATGTTGCCTAGTTCACATCCGGTATCACCGGAACCTTAAGCTCCATAAAGGTCAACTCGGGCTCATGTTCGCGGGCCTCGTGCAACTGCCTCAGGAGAACCTTGTCATTGAAGAACTCCCTCAGAACATCCTGGGTGTCGTTGCTATTGTCCAGCGCAGTCGCCTGGGCATCAAACTTTTTGTGTTCAGAAAAAGGTGCCACGATTTGTTTGATGAAGCCACAAATTGCATCTGGGGTTGAGACGGCAGTGGTGCACACCATGATCACCTCCTCCAAGCTGACCCGATGCATAGTCTTCGCAGAGGCGAAGCAAACCTCAGCATCACATATTGCATTGAATTGTGGTAACAATATTGATCAACCAATCGATTTTCGACAATATGCTGTTGAACCCTGTAAGTCTGAAACCTCTCCCTTTGGGTTCTTCCTTTCCACAGAGACGTCGCCACGGCTCCAGTACGGGACAACCTGGCCAACACAGTTGATCATTTCCGCATTGCGATGAAACATAAAGCCTTGTAGTTCTTGAGCTTTGGAAGGCGGTCCTTCATGGCTTTCTTGTCTTCGTCTAGCAGGGCAGGTGGATGTACGTATTTAAGCTTTTACTGCAATGCCGCTAAACAAAGCAGTACATGGTTGATCATGCGTCAAGATTCCGGCCTGATGGGCGAGTCCAGGGAACCATTGCCGCATTCTTTCGTTTTTTGCCCAGTTCCTGGCTGGCCTTGGCCTTGGGGGCGGCCTTTGGTTTGCATTTGGCTTTTGCCTTGGCCTTTGGTTCAGCTTGCTTGCCCTTGGATGGCTGGGTCGCGCTGCCTGCCTTGCTCCTGCGGGGCTTTTTGGCTGGCACTGGCAAGTCTGGTAGGTTCATGTCGGCGTCCTTGTTGTGTGTTTCGGATTCATCTTCAACGGTGTCAGGGGCACTGGCTGCCGAGAAAGCTGCTGGCCGCTTCATCGGCCTGCGGCGGTTGCGTGCAAGACGCAAACATATAGCTACGCTCAACAAGCCTCCCACGACCACGGCCGCGACCGCGGCCAGGTTGCGCTTTTGCCTTCGCCCGCCTAGCGTTATAAGGAAGGCAATTCATGCTTAGCGTGTCATGAACTGACTTGATGATGCAAATATATATTTGTCAAGGCTCGAGTCGATTTGAGCTTGCAACACATCTTGATTTTTGGCTGGCTCGATGTGTGCAATCGTCAGGGACGCTAGCATGGCCGCGTACATAGGTCTTGACTTCGGATCCACAAGTGGCGCGTGATCCTTAAACCGTTTCACACCCGTTTCAAGCACGCGTGACGCAGCCGGCACTGTCCGCCCTACGTGCAGCCTGATCGCAGCCTCGCACGCTCGGAACGGAGCCGAACTCGCCGGGCCAGGGTCCTGCAAAGGTGGAACCGTTGAGTGAAGCTCAACTGCACAGGGAGGCGTGCCTGGCCAAGCAATTCGGACTCGCAGTGCTTGGTCGGCTCGTTGTTGGCCTGCAACGTGGCAACATCATGGCTTTTAGTTAGCCCCAACAAATTTTTAATTCGTTGGGGCTGGCGTGATGCTGGCAACGCTGGGTGGGGATGCTGGCGATGCTGATTGGGGAAGGGGGGGGCTCATTTAGCTTGTGGGGAGGCTCTTTTTGCCGGCTAAATGAGCCCCCCGGAGTTTGCTGGTAATGCTGGCGACGCTGAGAAACCAAAGCCCAGTTTTTTGGTGGGGATGCCCCAAATTCCAAGAACTGGGTGTGTGGACCAAAGCGTTTGGGGAATGAGTCCAAGCACTTGCCTGCTGGGCATCCGCAGCTGGATGTTCCTCACTATCATCGCAGTGGTTGGCGGGCTCATCGTAGGCCTGCGCAGCGGTAGCGACGGCACCCTAAGATGATTGCAAGTGCTTGCCTGCTGGGGAGCACATTCAGACTTGCAGTGGTCAGTGGGCTCAGGCCCATTGTCGGCCTTCGAAACGCGAGAAGAATTCCCACTTGCAAGAATAGCTCGCGCGCGAAGTCAGCGCACCCTTTCAAGACTGATAACTGCAGCCACTTGCCTGCTGGGCAGGCAACTCGTGATCAGACTTGCAGTGGTCGGCCGGCTCAATGTAGGCCTGCAGCACGCCGGCTTGCTCATGCTTAATAATTCCAAGCTTGCTTGTAACGCGGCAGCGCAGTAAGAGCTGAACCTTGTTGTGTAAATACATGATTCGGCAAGGAGATCGCGGCACCAAACACATTTTCTCGTGAAACCGGTCAGCCCTTGTCATATGATGAACAGCCAGCTTACAAGCTTGACAAAAAGTAAGTGCCCATTGTTCAAGTTCAATGAACAGCTCAAGACACAAAGCTGCCTCCTGCGCAGGATTCGCCGCATCGCCATTGTCTTGGCCATCAGCCTGACAAGGCCCGGAGAAGCCACAGGTAGCAAAACTTGCTGATCCCGGCCCCGTAATAATTCTGGAAACATATGCCGTTGAAACCCCCGCTCAGGCCACAAGAGGGCGCAACTAGTGACATGAGCCAGCGCCTCGATCAGGCCCTGCTGCCCGTCTTCTGGATCTGCCTGGACCGGAGGCCAGCGGCGAGGCACTGACACCCGTGTGTTCACGCGCTGGCCTCCGTGATGGGCATGTCTGGGGCCACAGGTACCTGTGCAAAGGGGCTTGTTTTGTGGAACCGCTGTTTCAAGATAGGCGCACCACATCACAAGGGTCCTTGCTTCCATCACCATCCACCTGCAAAAGTGCAATTTGAAAACATGATTTAGGACCGTTTTCTGTCACTAGGGAAATATCTAAAAGGTGAAGAAGCCGCCTCGGCCGGCGGGAGCTCCTCCGCTTCGCGCACGTCAAGTTGTGAAGCCTGCCCAGGGCCAGTTGAAACAGGGAAGACTCATGGTTTGCGCAATTGAGCGTAGCGCCTGCTCCAAAGAAGTATCTCCAGAGTCCTGATGCAATTTCACAAAACGCGCGCGATGATTTGTTGCACATGTGCCGGCAGTCCTGTTGGTTGACCACAGCAAGAGGGTCCTCAACCTGCAAGTTAGGCTTGTGATCACGCGTGACATGGGGCAAGTTCGTTGCGACCTTGAATGGTTGTGCATCCAAAGAAGTCCCAAAGTGCAAAGCGCATTGGACATATGCAGACCCTGGCTGCTAGAATTTTCACGCCTACCCAATTTTGGGGAGCCGCGCCTCTCCAGCAGAGGCTTCTGCCGCTGTGCGGTCGGTGTCCACGATCTCATCCTACGCGGAACGATCAACCGATTCACCCATCATCAGAAACAATTCACTATGGATCCAGTAAGTCGTACACGTGTACGATGCTATTATTGACTGTATTTTGCTCATGAGGGGTTTTGACGGGAAATTCAAACGGGCGCCAAGCTTCAGGGGAAGGTCACGATCGATCGATGACAATGTTTGGACAGCACACAAAAATTGCCCTTTCTTGAGAGACGATTTTGTGAGTTCAGCGTTGCCAAAAGAGGGTACACAAATGACAATTTGGTTGAGGAGGTGGTTGAATATTCGCATTTTTGGGCTTGACAGTTGATCCAGAATTTAGGGATTGTTCAAAGAGCTCTCCAGTTCACCTTTGAAGCAGGCCTGCTTTTTAGAACCACACCCTTGACCGAAAACCTCAAGACTGACCCATGAATTGTTCACCCTGGCCCTCAGGAGACAATGCCTGCTGGCGTGCTCACTGCGCAAAGCAAGGCGGGGTCCTGGCTAGCTGCCACATCGCCCAGCATCAGGGTTGGAGCCCTCATTGCAGCGTCCTCCCAAACAAAATTTCGTGGGTGCGTGTGCCGAATTGATGTACACGTTGAACCATGGCCACACAAGACAGAAAAAAACACATGTTCGATTTCGGCCTTTGGTTTGCCAGTAGCTGAATTCCAGGGCGTGGTCCATCGTTTCAAGGATGATCTGGAAATGTGCGGATTTGGGGGCCACTTTTCCACAATTGCTGGTTGCTCCTCTGGCGCGCGCACAACGTAGGCCAGCGTAGTGGCTTGGTCCACAGAGCTCCCGCGAGCATCATCGTGCGCGTTAGCATCACAATCATCAGCACCCTCCTCAGCCTCACCTTCACACGCCTGCGCGCATGCGTCTACATCTTCGCCCTGCGCTGCTTCCTTGTCATTCCCGCCGCGTGCTGTCAAAATGTCCTTGAGCATTTGTACTTGCGCGCTCCTCAGAATCACGCGATGCACATGACCCTCAAGTGGGGTCAGAAAACGTCAGGATCACGCAATCGGTTTCTTCGTAAATGCAACGCAGACTCTTAGATCTATTCGGAGTTTTCCGCCAAAGCCGGATTGCGTAAACACCCCGAGCGCGAAGGCAGCCACCGTTGAAGTCCGCCCATGCCTACGTTCGCTAGGCATCCCGCCATACAACCGTGCATCTCGTCTCACAAGCACATTCGTGCACATGCGTACGTGAAATGAGGCCCAGCCTGCACATCTTTCTTTTTCGAGTTCACAAAAAGGGCATGTGTCTCCTCAAGCCACAGGAGCGCCGCCTCACACAACGTACAAAGTCGAACGTGCACATGCGCTACAGCTAAGTCTTACACCCGCGTGCTATTGCAGTCTAAGCGCTCTGAACTTGTTAACGCTTGGAAGTCGCGCCCCAAACTGCGCAAGGATCATGCTCAAAGGGAGGTAGGCTTCCTGCAAAGCCTCTTCGCAGTGGGCATCGTAATTTGATAGGAGATCATGCCCTTCTTTTTTTCGCACGTTGCAAATGCCAAGGTCCCTGATCCACTCGTCAACTGCGATCTTTACGAACTCCAGCCTTAGTGCAACGGTCTAGTAATTGGATTCCCACGAGAAGTTCCATCATTGCACTTTGCTGTTATGGGGCCACCGGATCACTCAATTAAGATCAAGCCGCTCAACGCTGCCCGGTTCAGATTCGTCCGCCATTGCGTGGCAGGCTTTCGAGCTTCGCAGCTGCGACGCGCAACCGCGGCCAGAGCTGAAAAGGAACTACTGTGTTGAACAGCCAGTGATGGAGAAACACAATATTCATCCGCATTCTGATCATGATCTAGATGTTTTTTCTCGTGATTGCCCATCACTGGCAAACCATGCAAGGGGGGGAGCGCCTTCGATTCGCCGTTGGCGAGCTTGCCGCGAAGCATGGCGCATCAGGGCGCATGTTATGACATATGAGCACCTGATCAATCATGTGTTGCATGAGCTGTTTGCTCAACCAATGCAGCTAATTGAAAATTGATCAAACCGTATCAACCGATTTAAAGTCTTCATGAAGTCCATGCCGCATGATCATGAAGAATCCTTGATTTCTTGCCTGAAATGATGTTCGATGATGATCCCGAGCCAGAACCTTCAAGCGGCCTCAAGAACCATGCGATTATGCAAAATGGCCAGGTTCCCCCTCCCCTTGAAACCCGGTTCCGGTAACCAGGCTCCGGTTACCTGCTATATTGGTAACCAGGGCGGTTACCAACTATAGAGGTAACCGGAAGCACTGGGTATATATTTATTTATTTTCGCGATGGACAACCCGCAGTGCGGTTTTCGAGATGAGCTCGGGGAGAAACGAGCAATCGCCTGGACCCGCTGGCTGCTTTTGGTCAAAAGGGGGCCGAAGGCGGGTCAAAAGTCCCAAAGAACTGACCCAATATGAACCCTAGGGTTCAACCCCCATCAAAAAAAGGGAGCCAAAGGCTGAGATTCTGGGTACTGGGGTTCCCTTAGTCCCTAAGCCCTAGGGTTCTCATTGCCCCCAGTAAAAGAATGGCCCAAGGGGACCCAATTTGGATGATTTGACTATCCGGAACGGTAAACGTTATGGTGGTTATAATCAAGCCAAGCATTGCTTTACTGGTGGCTTGCCTGAACCCAGGGTGCATGGCAAATGGCTCACAAAGAACTCAAGACCTGGGCTCTTAGTCGTACTCGAGTTGCGGAACTCGGACTCTAGTGATCACTTGTTGGGTGACCATTTGAGTTCTAGTGGCAAGCCAGCCGTTTGTTTTCTGTTTTTGCGAGTTTATTGAGGAAGTGAGTAGGAGTTTCTCTAAAACAGTGGAATTTGTTCCATCCTCGGATGAGTCGGACGCTTTTGGCGGGACAAAAGGAGCGAAACGAGTCCATTGGGGCACTCGTTTGATGCTGAGTCTTCATCTTCTTGCATTGCGCCTACCCTCGCGACAAGAGGAGAGTGGCGCAGGAGACGAATCTCGCGGGATTTCTATACTTGGGGGGGAGCCCTTCAAGGGCACTTCCATGTGGGTACGAACCTAAGCAAGGGTATCGAACAAACCCGTTTCAACTGATTGTGTACAAGTCCTAGGCCGTTTCAACTGCCATATTTTCCGCAGGTGTTGCAAGAATATTGAAAAGGAACAACATGTGTTGGCTTGACCTCAAGAGTGGCCGTTGAAAACAAGGAACCCAAAAACGCGGCACCATCCAAAGAGCACAAGCCAGCAAGCGGCGCGGGCAAGCAAGCAAGCAAACAAACAAACAAACAAGGAGACAACCACACAAACACGCAAACAGCGAGCTCATACGGGGGAGGGGGGATACGGGCGCAATTTTTTATTTTTTTGCCTGTGGGGGTGGGCCCCGATGGCGGCGAACACATGACACGCAACAGCCGAGAATCGGGTTCCCCGGAAGTAGAGGGTTGAATTCGTTTTATGTACTCCCTACTGTAAATACCTGCTCCCTATGATTTCAGGGTTCATTTTCCTATGCCCAGGGTTCATTTTCCTATGGGGCTTCCCACTACGGGCTCCTTTCCCGCGCCTCTTGAGAGGGGGGGGTCCTGACAACCAGTCGGCCTAAAGCTGAACAGCCGGGTTTTCTGAAGTAATTGTTGGACTTTGAGGTTGACATCTTTATTTTGGAAATTGAGGTGGACATCTTTAAGGGTGGAAAGAGTGGCCAAATGGCAGCGTTGTGTGTCTTCGATGTCTGAAGTTAGATAGTCACTGTTCAAACATCGTCTGACATTCAAGCTTGAGCAGTCCCAAAGAGCTGTCCAGGTGCGAGAACATGCTCTGTTTGGACTGGTTCTGGCCCGTTTTTTTTTTTTTTGTTTTTCTTTTTCTTCTTCCGAGGGAAGCAGCTTGTGGCAGAACCTACAGCATTGCATTTGCCGTGTGTCAGGCGCCAAGGCACCTCGGTGTCAGAGGAAGGGGGCGCTGCTACTAGATTCTGAGCGACTGAAAAGGAATGTAGAGGTCCAGGGCTCGTTTTCCTTGAAGGACACCATGGCGTTTTAGCCCAGGATTACCTTCCAATTCCATTCTTTCCAGGGATCCGGATCTTTCTAGAAAACCACCAAAAACCCTGGGGAAATGGGCTGGCTTTTGAAAAGAACGATGGCTGAAAAGAATGGGGAATCACCCCCTACAGTTTTAGCCCAGGAGTTGATTCCTTCAGGCATGCGACTCTCTCTTAAAGCCGGGCGGCACATGAAAGCAAAGCCAGGAGAAGCAGCAGTATTTGGAGGAGCACGGAGGCCGCTACGCGGAGAGCGAAAGTTCGTCGGGATCCGACAACGAGGATGATTACTTGGAATACCTGGGCTGAGCTTTGCGGTTCTTAGCTGCACAGAGATTGAACACAAAAACACAACCACAAGTTGTTTGGTCGGAGAATCCACAGTGCATTACTTTGGTAGATCTTATAAGCTCACTCCCAGAGTTCAAGGACTTTGAGTACTTTTTGGGTTTGGACCGTCTCGGTTGTAGACAAGTTTGGTTACTGGTTTTGGCCAACCAACTCGATCGGAAGTGAGTAAAGCCTTGGATGGGTTGGGAGCTTCACAGGTTGAAGAAGACGGTACTGTGGATGGTGAAAACCGAAATCCACTTCCCGCCACTTCGAAATCCCTTCGCTGAAACCACAACGTTTAAGTTGGTATTTACGTTAGGGAGAAACCATGGCTGAAACCACCGTTCGTTGGTATTTACGTTAGGGGAATGGAATCCTTCCAGGGCTATCTTAGGTGGTGCGAAATGGATTTCGTCCATCCACAGTGCGGCTTTGCTTGGGGGGACAGGGGAAAATCTTTTTGGGGCCTCTTGTATTGGTTACCCTCCCTCTAACATGGCAACTGACACATTTCGAAAACCCTCTTCCATTTCCGGTTTTGGAACTCTTCTGAACTTTGCAGATCCATGGGTGTTTGCCGATGTCAGTGAAGTTTGTATGCCTCACTTGGCCACTGATGCCAAAGTCGACCGGACTCAATGACCAGCATTATGACAGCCCGAGAGTTGCTTACATCTACCAATTGGAGGGTGCAGCTAAGTTTTGACGGCCAAAAAGCCGGTCATGATTCGTATAATATGCAGATTTCAATGAGCTCCAGGACCCCCCAGGCCCGCATGTATATGGTTGAGTGACCTCAGTTGCTCGTGGGTTTAGCCGATTTTTTGGGGGGGGCCATTTGACCGCCCGATGGGGGGGCCTGGCTCAGAAAGTCCGATTTTTGTTTTTCGGGGCGCGGGGGCTCTGGAGAACCAGTTCCTCCCAGAACGGATCGCCGGCGTGCGATATGTGGTGCTCAGTTTTTATAGCATCCATACGGAATCCATACGGCTCCATACGTGCATATGCACGTTCCTCGCCGAGCAGCCATGCGCGCAGGCGCGCTAAAAAAAACATGGCCAGATCCAAGCAAGCCACGCTATTCTGACTTCCTGAGTTCCTTCCTGGACTTGTTACTTGTTTGGCCATTTTAGTGGTAACCAAGAAGTTTAGACTTGCTTTGGCCAATCCACTCGATCGCAAGTGAGTATTAGGAGATTAACCAGGATTCGTACCTGAGTTTTACATCTTGTTTTCTCTCCAATTGCTTTCCACGTACCTGGATCCTCTAGGATGCTCGTTTTATCACTGAATGGGCGTTTACCATTTGCCCGGATGAAACCAACATAATTTTGTAGACGCCGAGCAACTGGTTTCTCAAGGCGTGTCTTTTTGAGGGCCTTTTGGGGTCATGTTAAAGGACACTCCAAGGGAAACCACCCACATTTGGGATTTCCTTTGGTTTTTGTTTCTTGCTTAGTCAACTTTACATCTTCCTCTTATGCATCATCCCAAACGATTGCTGCGCGTAGACATGTGTAGACCACTTGTTTGGGGGGTTGAACGTCATTTTGATTGACTCTGCAAGGAGGCCATGGTTGTTTGTTTTTTCTGTCTTTCTTTTTTTGCGGGTTTTGTACAGACGCGGCGAGACACTGGAGTTGTGCAGTGGCGGCCTTTTCTTTTTGTTTGGTTCCCCGCTCAAAATCGTCAAGGCCTTTTTATTGACTGGCATGAGTAGGAGTGTTGATGTCACGGGCGGAATCCGGAAGGGGTCGACGGTTTCTGTGGAAGAAACCAACTTGCGGAGGAAGCCTTAAGATGAAGGACTTCGCGAGTTCGATCGTGGAGCGGTCCATGAGTTCGAAGGCACAACTTGAGCATGCTACAGCAACATCTGTTCAGGGCATTAGCCAGGATGCTGAGATGGCGAGCATAAACCCTTGCGGTTTTCATTTCAACAGATCGGTTTTGGCCAGAGGAAGTTCCAGACTTGGCGACAAACTCGTTCAATATGTAGGCTGACAATGCTGGAGCTTTTGGCAAAGACTCGCAAAGGCTGGGGCTTTCGCAGCTCGTGCGGCCGTTTTTGGGCTGCAGGCATAGGGCTCTCCTCATTGGTATTCGTTTGCAGGAGTCCTTATATTGTTTCGCTTCTGAGTCACTTTAAGCATCACTTATTAAACTATTGTGATGAGGTGATTCTTCTTGGTGTGATGTTTCAAGGCAAACGGGAATCATGTTTTATGGAGAAGCCAAAGCATCCTCAATGTGCTTTGATCAATCTATGGAGTGCGCCTGGGTCGATTTGGTATAGTGTGTGACCTTTGGGGAAACCCCAGATTCCATTCACATATCCAGAGCAGCGCCTAAAGCCGATTCCTATTGGCAAAAATGAGTAGCTGCTATCCGTAGGGTAATCCCTAAACTAGAGCCATAGAAACCGTGGGGTTTTGGGACCTCAGCGGTTCCCCGGACTGATCTCGTCTTTGGATCAATCGATCGCAGATCTTTTCTGCGCTTTTTAAAGGCCGGGTTGCAGCCATGCATCAAGTCATGGCGGCTCTTGGTCTGGCGTCTTGGATGACATTATCGGGGAATGCTTCCACCCAAACACACGGAAGCTTGCTTCCTTTTTTCATTTTTTTTGGAGGGATGGGCCCCTTTTAAAATCAGCATTTTTGACCAGGGCCTTGTGGATCTGAGTCTGGTTGTTGCGTGTAGTCTTTGGAAGATCAAGTCTTTCATAGTAAATATATCTTGTGTAGTCAGGGGCTGCCATCATAGCCTTCATGCAGTGGGTATTGGGTGCAGGCAGTATGTGGATTTGCAGGGGGGGTATGTGCGTATGTGGGTCTCCTCAAAAACTGTTCTATGTTTTGGGGTAGGCTAGGTATGGAACAGAACCAGACATGTGTGTGTTCTGCGTATGGCTCTTGGCCCAAGAGACTGAGCCGCTTTAGCAGGTGCTACTACCGCGTTCGCCAACCGCAACACATGTTTTGTTCATCTGTCAAAGCCTGGTGGTCAATTTTCACACTTGCAAGGTTTTGAAATAATAGTGCAACTTGACAGGTGGAAAGACATGACCACATTTTGGATTTCTGCCACGCAAAATGCAACCAGAAATCCGAGTAGATTGCAGTTTTGGTCCTGGAGTGTTGTGCTTTGGGCGCTCAACTGGCCCAAAGAGAGAGCGGTTGAGCTACCAGACTTTCTGTGAGGAACTGGTAGGAAGGGAACTAATCCTTTCGGGGGGGTTGAAAGGAGAGCCAAAAGGAAAGCCACTCAAATGGTGTGGCTCAAAATTGAACAGGAGGGGCAAACCGCGGGTTTTGGTCCATGTTTCCACTTACCAGGGCAACCCACTTTGGGTACCTACTGTGGGTGGACGAAATTCTGCACCACCTAAGACACCCTGGAATGATGTTCCCCCTGTAAATACCCGCAAACGGGATGGCTTCCACCATGCCATCTGGTCGTGAGAGACTCGGGGAGGGTCTCGCAGGACTCACTGAACCATTTTTTCCAGGTCCATTCGGTTAACCACATGTGTCCGTCGTTTTTTGGTTTTTAGGGGACCCCCCCCAAAACAAAAAATCAATCAAGAAGCAACAGAGAAACGGGTAACGAGGCTTAGAAACAGACACCCCCACATAGTTTGATGGCTCATTTTGAAGCACCCAAACTCACCAACCCGGATTCATAGGATGACCTCCGCTCTAAGCTTAGTGGTTTCCCTCACAAGTGACCAGAGAAGCTTCGTACTCCCGGGTTCCGATGGGTTGACAAGCTTCCATTTGTTGTCGAGAAACCCAAGTGAGGCTTGATATTTGCACCGGGCCCCAGATTTGAATTGTTCTGTAGTGATGTTAGGCAATTTCACTCCCATTCCGTTTCGGGCTAAGATCCTGTTCAAAGGGTTCTTTCTTGTAAGCGAAACGGTTCCAACAACTTTTTTCAGTGCTTTGCATTCCACTGTTTCGCTGGGAGTCGACTTCTCGGCCCTTTGGCCGACCAAAAAGCGGCGAGGCGTTGCTTTTCTGCGCCGAAGCCGACCAGAAGACGGTACCAAGCCAGCTGCGTTTCTGGGACGCACCAAATGGATGTCCTGCATGACCGGGGGTTAGCTAGCGGGGAAACCGCTTCGTATGGCTTCTGCCAAGTTAAGTGCCTGTGAGAGTCCTAGTTGCTGGAATGGCTTCCTCCAAGTCAGAACAAAGGGACAAACCCTAGAAACCCTACGAACCCCTAGGAACCCTAAAGGAAACCCCTAGAAAGCCCGAAAAACTCTAGAAAGCCCTAAAGGAACCCCCTAGAAACCCACAAACCTGGAGCAAACCTGGTTTTTGGGGTCCTGTGTGCTTCCCCTTGGGTCCTTTGTTGCGGGGCCTACTATTGAGTTACTATTGGCTTAGAACCGGCCTATTCTACTTGAGCATTGGATTTGTTGAAAACATGTTTTGTAATTATAAAGGACAATGATCATTTGGGGGAAGATATTACAACTGTGTACAGAGGTGCGCAGAGGGTCAAACCGCGGGGGTGCTAATCTAGCTCGGGCCATCTAAGTGAGCGTTGCTCGTAAGGGGCCTCTTTGCTGGGGTCATGTTTTTTTGTTTCTGCGGTTTATCCACGTGAGAAAACTGTTTTTTCCCCTTCTGCGGTTTATCCACGTGAGACACGTTTTTCTTTTTTTCCCATCTCAGCCTACAACTCGGGCGATTTGAGAATTCCCAGTTCAGCGACCCTGGTTGAAGGGAAGTCTTTGGGGACTAGTGGGGAGGATGCCACTCATTTGGGACAATGATCATGTCACTGCTTTATGGCCTAAGTCCTCCAGTAGTGCCCTTTGACCAACTTTTTTGGAGCAGGGTTCCCCTACTAAAATAGACTACAGAAAAAAGGGTACCCTTATTCTAACCTCGCTACTGGAGAACCTAGTGGCTATTTGGTAACGGATCTTTAGATTTTTGGTTGAAGCAGGTCGTGTTTTCCATTGGAGCCACAAAGAGTAAGGCACTTTTTGCAGGGTCAACAGCCACCAGGACGGAGCCAGCTTTGCGACGTTTCGGTCCCGCATGTTGCGTTGCCGGTTTTGGCCAAAACATCTGCTGCCAAAAAGAACACCTCTGGGCTCCGAAGCTCGGCTCCGGAGAGCTCGGGCGCTCGGCTTTTTTGGGGGGTTTCTGAGACGAGGCTCCGCGCGCGTTTCTCCCGGGCGTTGAGCCCGCATGGCTGTGAGTCCCTGGGGTGAGATATAACCAGAGCTTCCCAAAGAAGCGCGAGTCGCCCGTCCTGGGCCATCTAGTTGTTTTTCTTGCTGCTGGCCAGTGGGCTTCATCTTTAGATTGGTTTCTTTTCGGGAAATCAAGGGTTTTCCACGGAACCCACGAACAATTAAACTTTTTGCAGACGGGTCGTTGTACCCAAGTTAGATCCGAAACTTTCGGGATTCTAAGGGCCTGGGCAGCGTGTCGGTTTGTTTCAGCTTGGAGTTGGCTCCAGGTTCGTTTTCATGCAATATTCCCAACCTTATGGGAACCCCGGATCAAGAAGCACCGGTTTATTAATTAGGGGTGTGTGTCCCTCCAAAAGTGGTCTGAATCCCCACTAAACCCAGGGAAAAGCACCCCCCTATTAATAAAAGCTGGGGTTTATTAATATGGGGTCAACATTAAAGGGTGGCCCCTTCCTTGTATGATCAGAGGCGAGGCAGGCTCGGTGACTCCGTTGGGTGGTCTGCCCATTGCGGTGCAACGCACCCTGAGCGACACCCTCAAGTCACGCGACTTCCCACTTTTTACGCTTTAATGGCAAACGGATTGGACTTCAATCCCTTCCCCTGGGCTTCCAAGGCCTCCTTTTGTTAGGCCTAGGCCTTGTTTTGTTCCAGAGGCCTTGAATCGGGTGTGCAGAGGCCTCAAAAAGTAAGGGCAAAGGCCTCGAAAGGGAAGGGCAAAGGCCTTGAAAAGTTGGGGGTGACCACCTCGTGCAGTTTCTGGCAAATACATTTACTCGAACGGATTTGGCATTTTGTTGAATGCGTGTAACATGCATTTGCGCATGCCTCAGCTGAAGGGTCTCGAGGAGTAGCCAAAGCCAAAAACTCTCCTTTGCAGAATCATAGCTGCAGCCTTCCTACCATCTTGTTTGGGACTCTCTTTAGTTTGAAGCCCCCCTTCATAGATATCTGCTTGAGAAATTGGAGCCAAACTAACAACAAGATCTGCAAATTGTTGCCTGTGTCAGCAAAACGCTGTGCTGCATTTTGCCCAGCGAAGTGACTCAGAACACCAGCTGGACCGTGGACAAAGCGTGGACAACCCGTGGAAAGGCCTCAAAAAGGCGTGGAAAGGCCTCAGAAAGGCGTGGAAAGGCCTCAAAAAGGCGTGGACGCAATGCCAAAAAGAGAGGACAGCACTGAAAAACCCAGCAGGACCACATGACGCTACTGCCAGAACCCAACCTTTTGCTTGGGCCAACTGCAGCCTTCGTGCAAGAGCGTGGCGTTTGTTCCACGAAAAATGCAGGGTCGCCGAAACTGTGCCGACACCTCCAAAGGAAAGCATGGAATCGTAACTCCACTGGAGTTCGTCCGTTTAAACAACTGCCTTGGAGCAAAGCAATGCGAGGTAAAGATGTCAGAGATTGAGAGCACAAAGGACAACATGTAGCGATATCGTGGGTGACGCACCATATGCAGCCAATGTAAAACCATGTTTTTTGGGCCAGGAATAAGGGGCCAAAGGCCTTGAAAAGGCGTGGATACTTACCATGGATACTTCCGGGTTTACAAAACAAGGCCTCTTGACAAATCAAGGCCTCTTTCCAGAGGCCTCCTTTAGACAGGCCTTTTGAAGCGCAGGGCTTAGTTCATGGACTTCAACCTGTTTGGGAAGACCATTTTAGTCGTAAACAAACAGTGTCTCGACTTTTTATGATTCCACTCGAGCTGAAGTGAGGACTGCCGATCCATTCAAGTGAGACTAGGTCTTCCAGTAGTGCCCTTTTACCCTGTTTTGGGGGAGGGTTCCCGTACTAAAATAGACTACAGAAAACAAAGTTGGTACCCCCAATTATTCTAAGCTCTCTACTGGAGGACCTAGGAGACCAATTGTCGGTCCCCCGCTAAGGCGTGGGATCCTTCCTGTCCTCCCTGGCGCCCCATGAGATGACGGGGGAAGACTTCCGGCCGACCGCCACCCGCGGGGGCCCGAGATCTCGTTCTATCGCAACCAGCACCCAGGTCCCAACAACCTGCTTTTTGGCATGGGGGGTTGATCAATATTCCATTTAGGGCACCCAAATGACCATACACGACTTGTCCCATGTGGGAACTATCATTTGTTGGGTGGTTTTCCTTCATGGTCATCCCATGTAAAGGACCTGTTGATCCCAAGTACTGTGCCAAGAAGAAGTTGTTGAGGGCTGCTGGATGGTTTTCCATTTTGTTGGTGTTCCATGATGTTGCGTCGTTTTCCATTTAACCTTTGCCCTTTTGGTCTTCCATGAATTTCCAAAAACAGACAAACCAGGGAGAAGTCTGGCCAAGACATGGGAGCAGCAAACGGCGGGTTCAGGGGTCTTCCTGCCAAAACCGTTGCCAACAATGTTCTACCCACGAGGGAACACCCGCACTCCCAACCCGACCCACCCCATGCCCTTGTAGCATGAAGCCCCTTTTCAATCGCCCACAACTCATACTAGGGTGGTACTTCGGCCATTTGGGTTGCGCTCTTCTCAGAAAAAGGCGTTCTGGGCCCCAACTAATCAAAGGGCACAAATCCTTTTCAGGTCCCGCAGCAGTTTTGATCTGAAACTGGGTTTGTTGCTGTTTATGCGGTGCCCTGTTTGTTCTCACAAAGAAACCAACGTGAACCACAAACATCATTGATTCTGAAGATCTGTTGACTGAAGCTGGGTCAACGTTTGGGACCGTCTTCTATTTTGCCCCCTTTGACCACAATGATGAACAAAGGACATGTTTAGATCCTAGGTGTCGAGTTGAACGTTGACCAAATGAACCCGAAATCCTCAACCCAACCTGGTTTGAGTAGAAGCTACCGAGTCATATATGGTCCCGAGCTCCGGGTTGCCAGTCCCCCCCCCTCCCAATGGTATCAACCCCCCCCCCCCCCCGCCCCGAAACCTGACCCTCAGGAGAGGCCCTGCTACTGCGGTCCCCAGACCCCGGCCCCTTCACCCCCTGCGCCCAAACTGACCCTAAGATAACCCTATTCCAACCCTAAACTAGCTCGAAACACACATTTTAAACCAACACTTGACACGTTCTGAACACACTCTAAACGAAGCCTGAACCAACTTAATCAACCCTAAACCAATCGTAAACCAACCTTAGATTAAGCCAACCCCTAAGCACATATCTTAAGCACATGTCTTCAACCAACACTAAACACACTCTAAACCACCCCGGAACTAACCTAGACCACCCCTGCACCAAGGATAAACACACACACACACACATCCTAAACCAAAGCAAAATACACTCTAAACCGACCATAAACTTACCTAAGCCAACCCTAAACACATATTCTAAACCAACACCGAACACACACACACACACACACACACACACACACACACACACACACACACACACACACACACACACACACGCACACTAAACCAACCCTGAACCACCCTAAACCACTACAACGAGATGAACCCTAAACCAAGTCTAAACCACTATAACCCCACCACGGGGGCGGGGGGGGGGTCTTGGACCAACCATAAACCAACCCTAAACCACCCCAACCACACCACAATGAGGGGAGGACTGGGAACCATGAGGGGGAGGGGGGGTGGACTTGCGAACCCTTGACCATATATAGGTGTCCTTTCTGGTTGATTTGGTTGAAAAATAGAGGGCCCTGGTTTACCTGGTGATTCAATCAATTACGATGACCAGGGCCATCTATTTTCCCAAAAAGGACACCTATGTACGGAGTGCCTCCTTACCAATCGAGATCCACAATTGCCATCCGAAACGGTGGTGACCGGTGGATGTATGCGTCTCATTAATCAATACTGGACGAAATCCATGTGGCACCTAAGAAACCCTGCAAGGATTCGATTCCACTGTACATACCAACAAACACTGGTTTCAACCATGGTTTCAAAGTGGTGGCGAACGGATTTCGCAACCATCCACAGTATGGCCAGTCTTTTGAGGGGCTACAGTGAAGAACCGTTGCTGGTTGCGGCATTTGCAGGTGTCCCATGGAAGTGTCTAAACATATGTGGAGTCCGAATAGCAAGTGGGTTCTCTTCAAATTCCAAGCAAAAGGAAGTCCATTGTGAGAAACAAAACACTCATACGAGAGAGAGGCTAAACTCTCTGATGTAGACGTATTCATGTCTTCGGCGCTTTAGTGAAACCCCAAAGGACAAGTGTCGGAATTATTCACAAACGAGAAGTTCCCATTCAAAATCGCCCAAAGTAGTCTTAGGTTTGGCCGCTCGCTCATACGTGGACAGGGTGGTGTCCCTCTCAAACAACCCAATAAGGATTCCCCACAGAATAGAATCATCCAATGGAAAGGCTTGACAGCTTTGCGACACATTCAAGCACGGGATTTAGGTACACTGAGTAAGCCTCCACTTTCGCTCCTTCTTTGAGCCACGGTTTTTCCAGAGGTTCCTCCATGTTCTTTGTGGATCCTGGCGATCGATTAAATGGCAACCCTTCACTGTTGTCGGCATTTAGCTTTTGCTGTTTTTTGTTTATTTGGTTCCGTTAATTTGATTAGGGGTTGTAAAAATCCCTCCTTGTGCAACCTTACCAAGGGTTGAGGTTGATCAACTTTTGCAGTGGACACCCAGTGACCCCTGTCCTCCTTCGTATTTTGAGGCTCGGGGCTGGCTACGGAAAAATGCCGAGAAGTCATGAGAAGTCTCTTCTGGCGCCCATCTTCGATGGCCATACCTGGCTTCTTGGGGGGTATGGATGAAAGGCTATGAACCCATGGGGCTGAACCGTTCGAACCATGTGGGTGTGTCCTTTTTGTTCTTCGGGGAGGCAACAAAGCGGGTGGCTGTCCCTTTGGCGTCCCTTTAGAACTGTTCACACCCCACAAAACAAGGGGTACCCTCAAGAAAAGACGCCCAGAAACTCGAGTTTCGGGAATGCGCCAAGGTGAATTCATCGACTTGATGAAGCATAGCACGCCCTTTCTGAATGGCGCTGAGAACGGCATCGTCGGCGATGTGGACAGCTGGGTGTTTTACAATTGGCCCGAGGTGCGCATCCGGGGTCCAACAAGGTCTCAGCCAGTCTCTCAAGCAAAGGGTGTCCAACGATTGTACGTGTTCGATTTGGGGACTCCAAGCTAATTATTGAAAATGATAACGTGGAGTAAATGTAGGTCAAAAGCTGACCGCATAGAGTTTCTTTGCACCCCGATATGGGCTCAGTGTTATCTGCTATCTTGTTCAAGGTTCCCTACCGTTTCCCTTTGGGTGGTCTTAACTATCACATTCGCCAATTCAAGCACTTGAGTGGGGGCAATTTTCTCGTGGGAGCCCCTGTTTGAGTGCTGAAAGGAGGTTTCCCTCATGCATGGGTCACTGCATTTCTCCAGTTGCAATTCACCGGTCTCGGTTGAATTTGCCACTTCGGTCCCAAGAAAATGGAGGAACTGTCTGGTTTGGTGCTGGTTTGTGGTCCATTTCTTGGGATTCTGGAAAGTTCACAGATACTGTGGATGGACAAAATCCAGTTCGCACATAAGGACCTCTGGAATGGTTACCCTCTAAATACAAACCTTATAGTTTCAACCACGGTGTCATTTCGTGGTGGCGAACTGGATTTCGCAACCATCCACAGATTGGATTGGTGTATTAATCCGGGGTCCACATGACGTCCTTTAGCCATTTGGGGTGCTTATGGGGGTCCATTTTCTGGGTTTCTGGGGAGGTTCATAGATATGGATCCCCCTTCCTTGTGGACCAAATCGGTGGGTCTAGGGCTTTGAGCTCAGCTTCCGCAGCGACGGGTATCCCACGGCCCTGCCGAACTTCTCCATGTGGAGCCGCTGGGCTCGGCTGAGGGGAGGGCATTTGTTGTTTCTTTCACCAAGCCACAACAGACACATGTTGTTGTGTTTGTGTTGGGTTAGTAAGTTAGCTTGCAGAGGATCAAGCTTTTTTTTTTTTTCTTCGGGGGGGGGGGTTGTCTAAGTCCTTCAGCTAGGTGCCAACTTTTACCAACTTTTTGGGTTGGGAGGGTTCCCCTACTAAAATAGACTAGCGAAAAGCAATCGGGTACCCTTATTCTAACTCCGCTCAAATCTGGAGGACCTAGATGAATGCTTGTTTGCGGAGGGATGGTCCTTCCCTTTCGAGGAGCAAATCCCCCATTCTAGGAAAATGCATTTAGGGAGGGACCTAGGTACCTTATGCATTTTGTTTTATGCATTTTTCTCCCCACGTTGAATCTATAGTGCGCTATCATACGTTGTTCGTGAGATTACATGAGATTTGCTTTGCCATCATGTCTGGTCACATGTTGAAACAAGTGTGAGAGCATGTATGTGAGAGCATGTGATCCTTGGCGCCACCTTTGTTGAAAGTCTAGCATTTCATTGCAGTTCTTTTGCGCGGGCGAAAAAACAGCCCTCTGACTCCTCGTGCATCTCTTTACTTTGTTGGATTCCTTCATCCCGGTAGCGTCTCGAACCCTTTGGTTGCACTTGGGACTAGTGCATCGCTAGGCCATCGCGTTAAGAAAAAGTGCAAATCCGCTTACGCCCAGCGGCCGGAAGCAGATTTCGTGGCGCGGCAGCAGATTTCCAGCCTGAAATCCGCTAGCACGCTGGCAAATCCGCTTACGCCCAGCGGCCGGTAGCCGCCCAGCGGCCGAAAGCCGCTCGCGCCAGTTTTGGAAATCTGCTACCGGCCGCTGGGCGTAAGCGGATTTGCCAGCGCGCTAGCGGATTTTTTGCCAGAAATCTGCTGTCGCACCACGAAATCTGCTTCCGGCCGCTGGGCGTAAGCGGATTTGAAGGACTGCGCAGAGCGCTTGCGTGCAGCGAATAGCGAATGCTGAGCAGCTGGGTGTTGAGCGCGGAGTGGAAGCGAGTGGCTGATTTGGTGAAGTGCCAAATCACGTGCCACTGCTCTGAGTGCTTGCGGTTTTTCATGAAACTCACCAAGTGCCGGCTTTGTCTTGGCCTTGGCAGCAAGAACGGGCACTCCGGCTGTGGCTTGAGCCAGGTTTCCAGTTACTTTCGCCGGTGGGGCCGGTATTATGAACTCCTAGCCCACGGCAAGGGCGAGGAGGAGGCAAAGCGAATCCTGAAGGCCGAAGAGGCACGGTTGGCTGCGGAAGCCAAAGAGATGGTTAGACTTGAAGCGCACAAGCGCAAACATTTGGAAGAGGAGAGGGACATCGTTTTCCAGCAGGAGCTGGTTAAGGCCATCGACGAGTCCAAGAAGAGCATTCGCGACAAATGGGCTGCCCAGAACCCTACCATCCCTTTGCCTTCACCCATTGGGATTGGGTCTTTAGCCGATGTAGTGACCTTGGGCGGCGCTTTGGGCAGCGGGGCCAGCCCGCAAGTGGTGCAGACGGCTCTGTCTTCGCCCCCGGCTGCCCAGCCTTCCACCTTCAGGGCGCCGCCCACGGCTGAGGAGCTGGCTCAGGTCCCTCCCTGCCCGCCTGCGCTGCCCTCGGATTAGATTACAGCACGTGTCCAAGGTGCGGCAGCCCAGGTTCGGCCAGATGGGAGGCCGCCCCGCGCGGCAACCGCAAGTGGTACCGGTGCCACCGATTCCCGGCATGCACCTTTGCCGTATTCCGAGAGTGAGGCTCTGGCAAGGCCATTTCTTTTGGCATGATTCTGTGAGGCATGCTAAGCCCGATGAATGAAGATGTGGTTCGCGAAGTACAGTGGAAGAGTTCTAACCCTTTTGAATGCGTCTGGGCAGGAGTTGACCACCTGAGTCTTTTGGGCAAGGGGTGGGGGGGTGGGGGGGTGGGGGGGGGTGGGGGGGTGGGGGTGGGGGGTGGGGGGGGGGGGGGGGTAAGAGGGAAGAATTGGGCCTATGTGTCGCCCAAGGCCCTGAATAATAGTTTCCCGGGTTCTCCCTGGGCCAGTTCCAGCATATTAAAATAAATAAATAAATAAATAAATAAATCAAAAAAAACAATGTTTTTAATTTTATTTTTTAAATTTCTGGAGGCCTCCATTTTTTGATTTTTTTTATAAAATAAAAATAGATAGTTTTCTGGGTTCTCCCTAGGCCAGTTCCAGGATATTTAAAAAATGTAAAAAAATCAAATATATTTAAAAAAAACTCAAATAATTTAAATAGTTTTTTCTATTTTTTTTCAAATGTCTGAAGGCCTCCAAAAATTTAAAAAATAAATAAATAAAAACCAATTAATTTAAAGAAAAAATCAAATAATGTAAATATTTATATTTTTTAATATTTTTTTTAAATTTCTGGAGGCCTCCAAAAATTTAAAAAATTTAAAAAAATATAAACAGTTTCCTGGGTTCTCCCTGGGCCAGTTCCAAGATATTTAAAAAAAATTAAAAAATTCAAATAATTTAAAACATTCAAATAATTTAAAAAATTCAAATAATTTAAATATTTATATTTTTTAAATTTTTTAAATTTCTGGAGGTCTCCAAAAATTTGAAGAATTTAAAAAATATAAATAGTTTCCTGGGTTCTCCCTGGGCCAGTTCCAGGATATTTAAAAAAATTAAAACATTCAAATAATTTAAAAAAATCAATTAATTTAAAAAATATTGATATTTTTTAAATTTTTTAAGTTTCTGGAGGCCTCCAAAAAATTAAAAAAAATAGAAAATCTAAATAGTTTCCTGGGTTCTCCCTGGGCCAGTTCCAGGATATTTAAAAAATTTGAAAAAATCGAATAATTTAAAAAAAAATCAAATAATTTAAATATTTATATTTTTTATTTTTTTTTTAAATTTCTGGAGGCCTCCAAAAATTTAAAAAATCCAAATAGTTTCCTGGGTTCTCCCTGGGCCAGTTCCAGGATATTTAAAAAATTTAAAAAATTCAATTAATTTAAAAAATTCAAATAATTTAAATATTTATATTTTTTAAAATTTTTTTAAATTTCTGGAGGCCTCCAAAAATTTAAAAAAATTTAAAAAATCTAAATAGTTTCCTGGGTTCTCCCTGGGCCAGTTCCAGGATATTTAAAAATTTAAAAAAAATAATTTAAAAAAATCAAATAATTTAAATATTTATATTTTTTAAATTTTTTAAATTTCTGGAGGCCTCCAAAAATTTAAAAAATTTAAAAAATATAAATAGTTTCCTGGGTTCTCCCTGGGCCAGTTCCAGGATATTTAAAAAAATTAAAAAATTCAAATAATTTAAAAAAATTCAAATAATTTAAATATTTATATTTTTTAATTTTTTTAAATTTGGAACTGGCCCAGGGAGAACCCAGGAAACTATTTATATGTTTTTAATTTCTTAAATTTTTGGAGGCCTCCAGAAATTTAAAAAATTCAAAAAATATAAATATTTAAATTATTTGAATTTTTCTATTTGTTTTGAATTTTTTATTTTTTTAAATATCCTGGAACTGGCCCAGGGAGAACCCAGGAACCTATTTAGATTTTTTAAATTTTTTAAATTTTTGGAGGCCTCCAGAAATTTTAAATATTTAAATTATTTGAATTTTTTAAATTATTTGAATTTTTTAAATTATTTGAATTTTTTGAATTTTTTAAATATCCTGGAACTGGCCCAGGGAGAACCCAGGAAGCTATTTATATTTTTTAATTTTTTTAAATTTTTTGAGGCCTCCAGAAATTTAGAAAATTTAATAAATATAAATATTTAAATTAATTGAATTGTTTAAATTATTTGATTTTGTTAATTTTTTTTAAATATCCTGGAACTGGCCCAGGGAGAACCCAGGAAACTATTTAGATTTTTTATTTTTTTTTAATTTTTGGAGGCCTCCAGAAATTTAAAAAAATTGAAAAATATAATTATTTAAATTATTTGAATTTTTTAAATTATTTGATTTTTTTAAATTTTTTAAATATCCTGGAACTGGCCCAGGGAGAACCCAGGAAACTATTTAGATTTTTTAAATTTTTTAAATCTTTGGAGGCCTCCAGAAATTTAAAAAATTTAAAAAATATAAATATTTAAATTATTTGAATTTTTTAAATTAATTGATTTTTTTAAATTATTTGAATGTTTTATTTTTTTTTAAATATCCTGGAACTGGCCCAGGGAGAACCCAGGAACCTATTTAGATTTTTTAAATTTTTTAAATTTTTGGAGGCCTCCAGAAATTTAAAAAATTTAAAAAATATAATATTTAAATTATTTGAATTTTTTTAAATTATTTGAATTTTTTCAATTTTTTAAATATCCTGGAACTGGCCCAGGGAGAACCCAGGAAACTATTTATATTTTTTTAATTTTTTTTAATTTTTGGAGGCCTCCAGAAATTTAAGAAATTTAAAAAATATAAATATTTAAATTAATTGAATTTTTGAAATTATTTGAATTTTTTAAATTTTTTAAATATCCTGGAACTGGCCCAGGGAGAACCCAGGAAACTATTTATATTTTTTAATTTTTTCAATTTTTGGAGGCCTCCAGAAATTTAAAAAATTTAAAAAATATAAATATTTAAATTATTTGATTTTTTAAATTATTTGAATTTTTTTATTTTTTAAATATCCTGGAACTGGCCCAGGGAGAACCCAGGAAACTATTTAGATTTTTTAAATTTTTTAAATTTTTGGAGGCCTCCAGAAATTTAAAAAATTTAAAAAATATAAATATTTAAATTATTTGATTTTTTTAAATTGATTTTTTAATTTTTTATTTTTTTTAAATATCCTGGAACTGGCCCAGGGAGAACCCAGGAAACTATTTATATTTTTTAAATTTTTTGAATTTTTGGAGGCCTCCAGAAATTTAAAAAGTTTAAAAAATATAAATATTTAAATTATTTGATTTTTAAATTATTTGAATTTTTTATTTTTTTTAAATATCCTGGAACTGGCCCAGGGAGAA